TGATCTACCATCTTTACTTCATATTCATTTATTAATTGGTTGTTCATACTATTATACATACACATCTTGTGTCATCTAAATGTTCTTTTGATCTACCACCTTTATATTCATTTATTCATTGGTTGCTCACACTAATATCCAGCTACATCTTGTGTCATCTAAATGTTCTTACCACCTTTATATTCATCTATTCATTGGTTGTTCATACTAATATCCATCTACATCTTGCGTCATCTAAATGTTCTTTTGATATGCCACCTTTGCTTTATATTCATCTATTCATTGGTTGCTCACACTAATATCCAGCTACATCTTGTGTCGGTCTTTTGGTCTACCACCTTTATATTCATTTTCATTTGCTCATACTATTATCCATACACTTCTTGTGTCATCTAAATGTTCTGTTATTTACCATCTTTGACTCATATTCATTTATTCATTGGTTGTTCATGCTTTTATCCATACATTTATTCCTCTCTCAATTAGTTTCTGGTTATTCAATTAATTCATTAGCTCATTCATTCAACCAGTCAATCTTTGCTTTATCCCCCCATCCCATACTTCAACTGCCTTCTGTCATCCCTCAAATTTGTCATCCAAAAAAACTTATAATGCATCACCCTGTCAATTACTTTGATCTGGCACTCTTTTGAGAGTATTGGAAGGTGTATAACAACCCTTTCCAATTCTGACATCTGCTCCTTATTGGATTGAGATTCTCCAGGGAGGATGGCATTGAAGGATGGAAATGGAACAATGACTATAATAATGTATGGAGCAGTAGGTGTTGATAGTAGAAATCTAGAAGACCAGGCTAGCCTATTTGAAAAACCCAGGCAAGCGCATTTGTAAACTTCTGTTTGTAAACTCAACTTCTCTTTGCAAACTCAGCTTCTCTTTGTAAACTTATGTTTGTGAACTTCTGCTTGTGAGCTTCTGTTTGTAAGTACAGATTTTGTAAACTTGTCTTTCTAAATTATCCACCCACTAAATGTACACCGACAGACATGGTACTAACCAATGTAAAATACGGACTTAGTTATTAGTAGCGAATACAACAGATTAGTTTCTAGGGTGCTTGAAATAAATTAAAAGAACTTTATATACAAACCTCCGAAAGGAAACGTCTTTGGGAACTTTGCAACCACAAACAGTTGTAGCACACACGTAAAGAACCATCATAAATATCAATCAAACGAATGAGTTATTAGATGTAAACCTTATCTAGGGGACGTAGCAACACTCACCTCACTTCCTATTCAAAATTAGCCGCCCACAGAAATTCCTTCATGTAAACATCTTTTTGTAAACATTTCAACCACAAGCAGATATTTAAACTAGCAGTATTTCAACCACATGATAATTAAATCGATAGATCAACGTCAGAATGTGATGAGAAGAGAAGGGAGATTACTTTAAACATGATTTGAAACAGATTGGAGGAGGGTCGAAAATTAGCCGCCCACAGAAAATCCTTTTTGTGGACTTCTTTTTGTAAACTTGGCAACCACAAACAGATATTTCAACTAGCAGTATTTCAACCAAATGTTAATTAAATCGATAGATCAACGTCAGAATGTGATGAGAAGAGAAGGGAGATTACTTTAAACATGATTTGAAGCGAATTGGAAGATGGTCGAAAATTAGCCGCCCACAGAAATTCCTTTTTGTGGACTTCTTTTTGTAAACTTGGCAACCACAAACAGATATTTCAACTAGCAGTATTTCAACCACAAGTTAATTAAAACTATAGATCAACGTCAGAATAATACTACAAGAGCAGGGAGATTACTTTCCACATGATTTGAGACGAATTGGAGAAGGGTCGAAAATTAGCCGCTGAGGGCAAATCCTTTTTGTGGACTTCTTTTTGTAAACTTGTCAACCACAAACAGATATTTCAACTAGCAGTATTTCAACCACATGATAATTAAATTGATAGAGCAACGTCAGAATGTGATGAGAAGAGAAGGGAGATTACTTTAAACATGATTTGAAACAGATTGGGGGAGGGTCGAAAATTAGCCGCCCACAGAAATTCCTGTTTGTGGACTTCTTTTTGTAAACTTGGCAACCACAAATAGATATTTCAACAAGCAGTATTTCCACCACATGTTAATTAAAACGATAGATCAACGTCAGAATAATACTACAAGAGCAGGGAGATTACTTTCCATATGATTTGAAGCAGATTGGAGGAGGGTCGAAAATTAGCCGCCCACAGAAATTCCTGTTTGTAAACATCTTTTTGTAAACTTTACAACCACAAATAGATATTTCAACAAGCAGTATTTCAACCACATGATAATTAAATCGATAGATCAACGTCAGAATGTGATTAGCAGAGAAGGGAGATTACTTTAAACATGATTTGAAGCAGATTGGAGGAGGGTCGAAAATTAGCCGCCCACAGAAATTCCTTTTTGTGGACTTCTTTTTGTAAACTTGGCAACCACAAATAGATATTTCAACTAGCAGTATTTCCACCACATGTTAATTAAATCGATAGATCAAACTCAGAATGTGATGACAGGAGAAGGGAGATTACTTTCCATATGATTTGAAGCAGATTGGAGGAGGGTCGAAAATTAGTGTTTGTAAACATCGTAAGCACAAAAGCAAAGATCACACACGGATTTCAAACACCAATAAAATGATGAATAGCGACAATGAAATTCTCTACTTCGGATGGAGCATTGGGCCATATCTTATGGTTAATGTCAGAGGTTTTGCATGAGTTGGGTGGTCAGCAATTGCCAATATGTGAATACTTTCAAAAGAGCAGAAAGAACTTCTTCTTTCTTGTTATAATCCGTATCCCATCTAGATATAGGCCAGTATAATCCATAGACATGTCTAGCTTGCCTTTACCAGGCGGGGGTGTCGAATTAACTCCAATTTAGTATTTGGTCACATGATATGGATCACGTGCAAGATGTCACATGACATTCACGTGCCATGTCACGCCCGCCCAATTCGTTAAGACTTTTCTCGTCACTTTGCGTCAATTTGGCGTGGTTGGTTAGCACTTTCACCACAAATTTTGTTGATTTTTTTTGCTATTTTGGGATCTCAGGTTCAATTCAGAGCATGGTAAGTTTTATTTATTTGAGATTCCTGGTGAGCTTCAAGTGAAGGTTGTCAAGCAACTTCTACAAAGGGATTTTTAAATAATGAAAATAATGTAATTAATCCAAGCCAAGGCCTTCCAAAATAATATACAAATCCAAGAGCTGATTTTAGCTGAACTGCTTGATGTTCGCTACCGAAACTTTAGAAACTATTCCCACCCCTCCTATTGTATTTGCAAATAATGCCAATACGAATAATCCAATCACTCATGTCTCTTGAGGTTTTCAGGTGAGCTGTCAGATATTAAAGTTGGGGTTAATAAAAGCGGTGGTAAAATGAAGGTCTTTTGAGTTCCACACGCTGTGGGTAAAAATTCTTTGACGAGGGACTGTACATTTCCTCCACATAGCCAAATGGTGTGTCGCCCTACACTTGGTTCAATAAACCTTGCGTGTTTACACATTGTCGAGAGTTTATTCAGTTATAGATATTATTTATACATTTGTATTTCTAAGAGGATAAAAATTTTTGCAACCATTTGCAAAGCCGCACTACTTTCTCAGAAATACTAAATTGATCCTACATCCTACAAAAGACAATTTTATCTGTATCTCACAATGAATAGGAATCTATATGCGTATACATCGGTAAAGTTCATTTATTTATGTTACCCTTGATCAACGATGCACAGTTTCACTTGGCAATTGCTCTCTATAAAGTTCCATGGCTGCCTCAGTCAATTCAGAGATCGTCTTCAATACCCTCTGAGCTTGCTCCCTTGCGAGTAAATCATTATCAGTTTCCGAAACATATCTGAGAATCCTAAAAACTGATTCCTGGTATCTTTTTGGAAACATTACCTTATTCGTTTCAGACGTCCCTAGAATTAAATCATGTATTAACACAATAGCAGCTCTCCTCATAATCGCACTCTCAACTGAAGTCTCTAATTGTAATATCCCTATAGCACAGTCCAAACATTCCTCTAATTTGTCAATCATCCCTAATGGATTCACTTTACAACAGGACCCAAGTAAAGACATACTGGACATTCTCAAACGATCATCCACTACATTGTTCTCATCTTTAGACCTTCTGATTAGTGATAATGTAGTTTCCACAATTAAAGAAGCAGATTTCCCCCCGAAAGCGTCATTTGAAGATTGAATGTACCGAAGTAAAACTTCCCCAATACGGAGTCGTTCATCCATTTCGGAATTCTCATCCTTATAAAATTTACATAATATCTCGAGAACAGTATATTCATCCCACGAAATCAATATTTCAAGTCCTTTAATAACATTAAGATAAATGAAAGGATCGGGATCTTTTAATTGTACAAGATGTAAGTTAATAACAAAATCAATTGAAATTGTCTTACTCTTGATTTCGACTAATTTCCGCAACAAATATAAACCATGTGCTCGTATTGGGACAAGAGGGTCATTTAGACTTACTATGGCCCTATTAAGAATGTCTCTATCTGTATCAGTTTTGTCCTTATCTCGAGGTTCTCCTTTGAGTAGCTCTTGTACTCTAGAATTCAAAGCGAGTGCACTTCTCTTTGTTGTTTCTTTTATATCTCCTTTTTCAGAAAGTTTCATCAATGATGTACTCACACTTGTAAGAACTTGAAGATGTTCTGCATTACCCATCATACCATCATTTTCAGAGAGAATAGCTGATAGCAATTCCAAAAGCGTCGGTAAAACCTCTTCTCGAATATCCTCCTCTTCATCTTCATCGTCGGAATTTTCATCCTCATTGGAAATAGAATCCCCCGTTCTCGTTCTTGAAAACACAAGAAAACTATCTACCATTTCCAACATTTCAATAGGTGTCCTTGCAAGACATTCCTTGAATTTATTCCCAATGCTTTCCAATAATCTCAAATCCATCAAAGCTAGGAACGCATTTTTCTCCTCCCCAATTAATTCTATACCATTTAACCAATTTTTCAATATTTTTATGAAAAGCGATTGTACTAATTCATCATCTAGATCTTCCAACAATCGAATAAACGCTTCACAAGCAGAATCCAATCCAGAGATAAAGCGAGCCACTCTTACTTCTTTGCTAACCGAACTAACTTCCGAAACTCTTGATGCAATCTGGGTCATAGAATTGGGTCCAAATTCGAAAACCCAATTATCATTTCCGTCATAAATAAGATTCTTTGCAATAATTTCTAAACCGTTTCCTGTATTATAATCCTTCATAATTGTAAAGTAACTAGTTAATATACCCATTATTACACCAGTTGATTTGTCATGTTTCTTGAGAAATAAATAATAACCCCATAATGAAAGAAGTATAGGTTCGAAGATAGCCGCATACAAATCCAAATCCAAGGTTTTCTTGTTTAACGATATTAATACGTTCACGGTATTATTCAATTGAGTTTCTGTTATTAAAATTGGTTCGTCCCTGGCTTCTGGATTAAAGCAATTCCAAATCTTTTTAAGAATAAAATCTTGGGTTACCCTTTTATTCCTTATCCAAAGCTTCTCGATGGCATAAACAACACAACTAGTTACTGTTGGTCGATTTATATTTACCAACAACTCATAGCTTTGGTTACCGATTGAAGTAAAATACTTCCTTGTATCGACACCTGAAGGTTTCAGTAAGACTACATTCGCAACATGGTCAAACTTTTCTATATTAACCTCTTCAGTTTCTCTTAATTCCAAAACAAACTCAATTAAACTTAGTAATCCATCGTTTCTTGGAGCATCGTAGTGAAGAGATTGCAATCTTCTGATAACAAATTGTTTGAAGTACATCGGAGATGGCGTTGCCATTAGAACAGTGTATATTTGAAATAATTCATACGTTTCGGGAATTTTTTGAATCAGATTGTCATATTGAGAACAAACATCTTGTTTCCGTTTTGAATCAAAATGCGGAACTGTAATAAGGGCAATCGAGACTGTAATGAAGTCAGCATACCCTGTTCCTCTGCTTAGTAAGTCAGTTACATCCGATTTAACCTGAAAAAGTTGAAGGAATCTATCGTACACTAAGCCTAACAATTTCTCATGGTTTTCATATGACCCCTTTATTGGCAATTTATCTATTTTGATTTGATCCTTCTTATTAGAGAAGTCTTTCAACCGACGTTTTTCAAATGGGACACCTATATTGAGTGAAGCTAAAACGGGATAAATTCCATGAATAATAATGACATTGATTAATTTCCCAAAAGTCTTCATATCATGCAAAGAAATACTAATCACCGACTTGTCCTTTGTTCCATCTGACTCTGAGGAAAACTTTTGAATATCAATCAACAATTCAAGTAATTTGGAAACTGTTCTATATCTCTTCTCAAATTCATCCTTGCCATCTGGTCCATCTGGAAATAACCTTTTATACAACAAATCAATGCTCAATTCACTATACAGCAAGTCTAAAATCTTTTCAAGTTTGGTGAATAGTATGTCTATAGGTTTGTTACTAATAATTTCTGGTTTGTTGAGCCCTTTCCGTTGTGAATAAACTTCATTTGCAGATCTTCTTATAGTGGTGTTCTTCTTCCGGGGCTCAAATGGATTTTGCTTTGACTTGGACTCGATCTTCGCCGGTTCGTCTTTTACTACTTCAATTTTTGGAGAGACCATTATTAACTCTATGGGAAGTAAATAGGTGGATTAGTTTCTGCTAACTGCTGCTTTTGATAAATACCTTAAACTGGGACACCAATTTTCTAGATTTTATATGCAGTAGATTTGATTTTCTGCAGTCATCGCGGGTCTAAAAAATTTCAATAGATGAGAAGGTTCATCTTGAAAAGATAAATACTTCAAGATCAAGAAGTAAACAACATTAACTCAAAAATTAACCTTACCAAACTAGAAAGCATAACCAGGGGTATTACAAAATGTCAGCAGAAGAAATTACAACTTTAACACAAGAAGAAATGGATGTGGTTATTTATGATGCCAGAGTAGGTGATTTAGAAACATTGCAAGAAATATTCGAAGAAATAACTCCAAAAACATTGACTAGTGTTAAAGATGATATTACTTTAAGTACTCCTATACATATGTCAAGTGCGAATGGACATTTGGAGGTTGTGAAATACCTTCTATCTATTCTTTCAAAGGAAGACGCTACAAAATTAGTTGCGCAAAAGAACGAGAATGGTAACACCGCTTTACATTGGGCAGCATACAATGGCCACTTGGAGATAGTTAAGCTCCTTGTTGAAGAATATGAGGCTGATGCGTTTGTCAAAAATGAAGCTGGACATGACCCAATATATGAAGCTGAGAATAACAATCAATTCGAGATTGAAAATTGGTTTTTGAAGAAATATACTGTAGAAGAAGACTTTAAAGTTGAAGAAGATGGTGAAGATACCAAAATCACTTACAAGCCTGGGACAGAAAGTAAGTTGGCAGATGAGCAAGCCAGGGATGCGTCATTTGCGGCTGCGGCCACGGCTACTTCGTCTTCGGAACCAGCTTCAAGTAAGACTTTAGAGCAAGAAACAGAAAAATTATCTTTAGACAAGTAGGCCGATAGAATTGCATTAAATAGATAGAAATGGACAATGCTTTATGTCGATATTTTAAAGTCTGTATGAATAATCTCTAAGTAAGCGATTCCTACAGGGTAGTGTACTTTTACTAAAATTTATTGAGAGAAAAATTTTCGACTCATTACTCATTAAAATTTTTTTTTTCAGAATGAACTGGTGATACCCAAGAGCCCTTAAGTTAGAATTAGTAACATTAGATATGAGTGATTTAGGTTTTGATCCTACTTTGAAGAAGAAGAAGAAGTCTAAAAAGACAGAAGATGGCATAAGGGAATCCCCTGCACCTGAATCAGACGCAGGTGTTGATGAATTATTCTCAGGATTGAAGAAAAAGAAGAAATCAAAAAAGTCAGACGACTTGGAAAAATCTGCATCCCCTGCCCTTGATTCTGATGATTTATCTGCATCATTGAGTGAGCTTGGGTTTAAGAAAAAGAAGAAGAAGTCATCTGCGAAGGATGTTAATGAATTCGAACAACAATTAGAAGAAGCAGGTGTTGAAGATATAGTTGCTCCAGTTGAAAAAGATTCCAATCAAGTTGATGGTGGTTTAGCATATGAAGAATTATTATCTCGATTTTTCAGTATTTTGAAAACAAACAATCCTGAATTGGCTGGTGACAGATCAGGTCCAAAATTCCGTATTCCACCACCAGTGTGTCAAAGAGAAGGGTCAAAGAAGACCTTATTTGCCAATGTCCAAGAGATTGCCACCGTTTTACAAAGAAATCCAGAGCATTTGATACAGTTTTTATTCGCAGAATTGGGTACCTCAGGTTCCATTGATGGTGAAAAGAGATTGGTATTGAAGGGTAAGTTCCAACCAAAGCAAATGGAATCGGTCTTAAGAAGATATATTATTGAATATGTCACATGTAAGACATGTAAATCAATGAATACTGAATTGAAGAGAGAATCAGCTAATAGATTACATTTCTTAAGTTGTAAAGCTTGTGGTTCTACAAGATCTGTTTCTTCAATCAAAACTGGTTTCCAAGCCCAAATTGGAAGAAGAAAGAAGCTATAATTACTATAACGATGTGCATTCTAAGAATTCTCTTCTCAAAAGAATATTGAGTGTGGTGTGAAATGAAAGATATTACAGACAGGGCATATTACAAGACAAATTTGTATTCCTGTCCTCCAATACTTCACGAAAAGATCCTACATAGCATTATTCTCTTTAACTGTGTATAATAAATTAAGATTTCTGATAATACTAAAGGGCAGCAATAATCCTCTTTAAAGGAGTACACCAAACACTTACCCCATCATTGGACATCATATACTTAACGATGTCTGTTTTAACCAGTGTTAGGGCTACAGCATCATGTGACTTTTGTGCCAGCAAAACTCGATCAAGAATGTTCCCCACAAATGTAATATCACTTGAACTAAGATTTTCTATCTGTGGGATAAGCTTTGACTTTGCATCCGCTATTTCTTCTTTTCCTAAACTTAGTGGTAACTCAAAGGTTCTATTCAAAAGTTCAATAACATCCTTGGTATCTCTCTCTTTTCCCAGCCCAGGTCCGCTAATTGGAGGGTTTGATCTATTCTTTGGAGGAGGTGCCAGCGGAAGAGATGTGATGGATGTAAACAGGCCGTTTGGATCCTGCTTTACACTCAAACTGCTGCCACTACCATCAAATGCCATGGCAACCCTTCTGGTTTTCCTTCGGGAAGAAGAAGACCGACTACTATTCAAACTTGAAGATGAAGAATCACTATGAAGCATCATAACATCGGAGGGACAGTCATTCCAACCTTCCATAGATTCTCCTTTTTGGTATTTCGTAAGTGTCATGTTAGTCTGTGTTTGATAGTATGCGAGAGAAGGTTTATTAATAAATTTCAAATTGAAAGATTAAAAATACCACGCAGGAGGAAAAAAAAATGTCATAATTAATAAGAAGGCTTATCTTCTGACAGAATTAATATTGATTTAATTACTATACAGAGTTATTTAACTTAATATCCATTTCTTCTGCTAATTTCTAACGCTGCTTCTAATACTTCATCAATAGATGGTCTTCTTTCAGGATCAATAACCAAACATTTTCTTATTATGTCAATTAATTCTTGAGAATATCCTCCATTCCCATCAGGAATAACATATTTACCTTGTGAAATAGCTAAATTTAAATTGGCTCCTTGTTCTATTTCTAATTTCTCAAAGGGTGAAAATCCAAAGCAGTTGCAATATAATAAACACCCCAACGACCAAATGTCAGTTTTTTCTGTGATTTCCACATTCGTTGCCACGTCAAGCAATTCCGGGGCTCGATATGGCAAGGTACAATGTTCTTGTGCAAAATCAGTCAACAATAATGCTTGCTGCCTATTCTTAATTGAAAATCTTGCTCGAGAACATGATCCGAGATCTACTAACACTGGCAAGCCTTCTGCAGATAACATTACATTTGCCGGTTTCAAATCGTGATGAGCATAGGGCACTAATTCATGCATTTCGGTTGTGGATACATTCGCATCACCTGGTTGTGATAAACTTAAAGCGTCCTCATAGTCATCTTCATCTTCACTCTGAAGCAAAAGCTCGTCTTCTTCTTCAACTTCATTAGTCAATGGTCTAGTTGACGTTGCTTTCTTGAAATTATGCAACACTTTCAATCCTCTACAAACACCGATAAATACTCGTAAGATTTCATCTTCTCCCATCTTTTCATCATTCAAGACTAGATTGTTAATAATATCTTGTAATGATTTTTCAAAGTACGGCAATAGAATATATATGGTTTTTGATCCATCTATTTCGTTTATAATTGTTTCATCAATTGATTGTATTATATAAGGTGTTTTTGAATTTACAAATCGATGATAATTCTTAATTTCTTTAATTGCATTCTTGAAAGTTTCGTCATTCGAACCAAACGGACATCTGATCTTTTTCAAGGCATAGAATGATTCATTTGATGTTGTTGATTTTTGACTTACCAAATATACATAAGAGAATCCCCCTTCTCCTAATAATTTGATTATTCTAAATTTGGATCTGTTGATTGTTATTGATGGGGCCGAAAGATCAGGGAAACATGGAAGACAAGAACTGAATAGACTTAGTAAACTACTCATTTTGGGTAGCTAATGTAATTCGTTTGCTTTTTTATTGAAGTTTAAAGAGCTACAATTAATAACCCACGCATACACCACCTTGCCTTTCGGTATATAAAAAAAAAATAAAAAAAACTCATGAATGAATAATTACATGTAACATCACGAAGTTCAAATAACCAAATAGAAAAGATGAGCACACCTAATTCCATTAGTCCACCAATGCTTGGTGATATAAAGACTGGTACACCGTTAGAAATTACATTTGATACTTCATTGATTGACAATGTAACTGGGCAAGTAATTCAGAACGTGGAAGAACCTTCATCTCTTAAAACTGATGATATGCTGAACCTTGAAAACAAAGATGCAATGGATATTGATTATTCTATTCCATCTGACACGATTAAAATGTTCGAGGAAGCGAGGGAAGACATAGTCATGAAAGACTCTGGCAATGGCACACCTGATCAGAATCCAAACCCAGAGGAGGAAGGAGATGAAGATGATCCAATTCAGAAAATGCGCCGAATGCATATCCTTCCAGATTTATTCAACATGATTCATGATTTATTGAGAGGAAAGATTCTGGCTAAGGATTTTGATAATACTGCTGGTAGTTTGCGATTGAAGTTGGCTACTCTTAAAAAGTATATGCAAGAAGTTGAAGGAATTGGAGAAACTTTACAAAATACTCAATTGAAAATTGAAAATTTGAAACAGAATAATGAAATGAAGTATTCGCTTTTGAAGCAATTCAAATTAAAAGTCAATCTTGAACTTGAAGATGATCAAAACAATGACTTGCATTAAGTTGAAGTGGTTTTTGGTTATTGGTGTTCCTATGGTTTTTTTGTTGTTACGGAAAACTGCCGCTTTAATCCGAAATAATTTTTAGAATGAGCAAGAAAAAAAAAATACCACTTTCTGAAAATTATTACTGTCCACTTTTTCTTCTTAGTATTTCCAATTTTATGATGAATTTTATGGAAATTATATCCCTGGATCCTGGAGCAAAGAAGATTCCGGCCCTTACATTAGGTTTGATTGTATTCACTTTGTTTTTGTATCTTTTACAGGTTTATGGAGTTTCCTTTGACAATTTGATTTTATATCCTAATGCACCATTGGAGTTTAATCTTAATAGTATTTCCTTATATCCTTTGATTCATGTTAACTTTATTCATTGGTTCCTTAACATTTGTTCGATTGCTACTCCCTTGGCTAGATTTGAACAAACACATGGCACCATATACACAGGGATTACCCTTAATTTGTTGGCAGTAATTGCGGCTATTCAATATTGTATAGTGGGAATGTTTGTATATCCCAATGTTGGAGTTGTTGGTTTGTCTGGGATTGCATTCCTGTTGTTTAGTTTCTTAGCATATAAAGAACATCAACATCAGCCAGTTATAAAATGTTTCCATATTGGTGCTTTTGAGGTCAAGATTTATGCAATTATCGTCCCATTCATTGTAGCAGTGTTGTTCATCTTTTTAATGCCTGGTAGTTCGTTTTTTGGACATTTGGCTGGAATATCTACGGGATATTTGTTGGCATTGGGGTACTTGAAAGTGTTGTATCCTCCTTCAAAAGTATTATTGTTTATAGAAGACAAGTTATCCTCAGGAATAGACTTACTTGAACCATTGGTTGATTATTATAAGGAAAATGATTCAGTTCATGTTCGAAGCGCTCAATATTCTCTGTTGTTTATGAATGATATAGAGCTGAGTGCAATGAATTCCAACCCAAGTGTGGTACCACCCGCGTATCTTAGTGAGACAAGAGTATTGGGAACATCAGAGAATGCTTAGTTTCTTATTCCTTATAAATTTTATACAATTGTTAGTTTTTGCATCACCATATACTGTATATAATAATATATAATTGTTAATGGAACTATTTAATTGATTGTAACTATGTAATTATTAGCAAAATATTCTTTTTCTTAGTAATATAAAGTATAATTAACCCTCTATTTTTGCTGATCACATTGCCTCGGTAAAATGAGAGAGAAAATATTTTATTATGGGGAACAGGAAAAGGATTGTCTGTTTTCAAATTTTATTTTCCACTTTTTGTTTTTTAATTTGAATACTTTTAAATTAATTCCTAGAATCATTGATAAGTTGATAAGTAAAATAGTATAAACGCTATATAACGTTTATCTCGGTATCAAGATAAGAATGGTTATAGCAACTGAAATAGCGGATACAAGTCATGTGCATGGCGTGTCCACCAATTTCGAACAACCCCACTCATATACCAATACCCAAACAAAGATACGAGAACCCCCCATTAGAAAGAAAAAGAGAAAGACAAGAGGAAATAAGAAATCATCCCAAGATAAGGAATCAATAGATAATAATAAAGATCGAATGGTTGTTGCTTCCAATGATAAAGTTGATTCTTCAACCTCAATCACGCCCCAGGAAAATTATCAACAACAGCCTACTTCAGATAATGCTAGTCCTCGAAGGCAAGCTCTAATGCGATATAAGAAAGGAAATACAAATATGAATAACAAATTAACTGAAATGAAAGAACATCTACGATCTAAGACCTCGGTTGATGAGGAAGGGTCTTCTGGGCTTCCCCAGTTGGATATGGATGAAAAAGTTACTTTATTTAGATATAAATCTTGTAAGATTGTACTGTTTTCCGAGGCAGCGAATAATACGTTTACAGAAACTGGCACTGGAACGCTTCTTGCTTATGGGGAGTTTGAGATTTTTCAATTACATAATGGAGATGTAACATATATTTCATGTGGAAATTCCTTTATTTACCCCTTGCTACCTAAAATGAATCTTATACGAATTGGATTTGGACAGTTTATAATTCCATTGGTGAACCCCGACAGATATTGGAAAATATCTATTAATACAGAAGAACCTAATGTTGTTGATATCTTGCTGTCTACATTTGGACGAATCGTTCAGTATAAGGATTTATATCAATCAATACAGAATAATGACGAGGTAACGAATAAAAAATCAGACAGTAGTACGCAGAATATCACCAGTGCACCCTTGTCCTCGGAGCAGTTAGAAAAAGTGCAACCATTAACCACATTAGCACACTTTCCTGTAATCTCGGAAAGTATTCCCGAATCTCCACCTTCGAGCCCTGGTTCAGTTAACCCTAGACTACACTATCTCAATGATCTCCCAAGAGTTAGCAAAGACTATATCGCAATGAAGACTGTTTCTCAAGGAATGGCGCACATGGAATTATCTGCTTTCACAAATTCCCAGAAGGATCATTTCAGTCATGGGTTGCATTCAAACCTGAAACAAGCGATCGGGTTAGACCAAGAATTAGACGCGTCCATGGATTCGTTACTTGATGAGTATGAAGAAACTTTAACCCAGGCTGCTTCTCGACCGGCTTCGAGAAGGCAATCCATATCCGGAAGTGTTCGTCCCAAGGACATCAGATCGCTGATTTATGACGATGCTTACGATGGCTTGGACAACATTCCATCATTGAGTGAATATAACCGTCGAAAAAAGGGTGCTATATCTCGAAGATCATCCAGGAGTGACTTGTATACATCTGAAAGTGGTTGGATGGAGCCGACTCTTGGTGTAAATGCAGCAGATCCAAATCCTATAAATGCAGTTGGAACTTCAGCTAGAATCCCCAAAACAAGATCCCATTATAGCATCAACAGTTTTAAAAGTTGTGATTTAAACCAGATTTATCAATCAATAAATAAGCGTCAATTTCAAAATGGGAGGGTGACTGTTCGAGAACCACAATCAGTCACTCGAGATGATCGTTATTCGATCAGATCTATGCCTATAGCGCGGAATAGAAATCAGGCGGTCCCACTTGGATTGAGCAGCAATCCTTTTGGCTCAGCTACAATTACACGGAAGCCCCAAGAGAATCTAGAAAAAGTGGCACCGAATGAAATCACTTTAAAATCTGGAGATATATATCAACTCCTCAGTTCAAAGGAAACAAAAGACATCAAGCAAACTCGTCGTGCAAGTTTTGCTTCTAGAATTTTTGGTTGGTAAAATGAATGAAAACGAGAGATTATGTGGTAAAAGGGATCTAAAAGCGGATCTTCCTTAATATATACAAAATGAATAATTAGGTACAAACGTATATATACAACAGATTAACTATTTATACGCAAGAAAAAGTACGTTTTGCTTTTCCTCTAAACTTGTGGTGCACCTGGAACTGGGTTACCGTTTGCGTCAACTAAACCTTGTTGCATCAACATTAATTGTTCATTACCGGCGGCCTCGTATTGTAATCCTAAACCGAGTCTGGATGAGCTCTTTGATTGATCAATTTCACCAGAAAATAAGACTGAAACAGTTGGTAATATTCTCTTTTCTAAGAAGGCGCTAACCTTACCATTAGAGTCTAATTGACCTCTGAATACAGCGGTACGATACTCGTATTTTGCACCAATGGTGGTTTGACCTTCAATAACAGGTTCAAATCCAATTGTACCCATTAATGGGTCAGCAACTTGTTTCATAGTAGCTGCGACTTGTGTTTCTAAACCTGCTTCGACGTGATCAGATACTTTTCTCCAGAAAGACGCAATCAAAGCACCTTGAGCTTGAATTTGAGCAGAAGCTATCCACTTTTCAGCATTATAACGAGCGACATATGATACGGCAGTGTCTGGTGGGTTAACTGGTTGTTTGGAGTACATTGCTTCTAAACCAACAGCAAACTTTGGAGTTAAGGATTGTAATAATGAAGCAACTGCAACCCCACTAAACCCTCCGTATAAGAATGATGGATTCAAAGTTTTCACATTGATAGAGAAATCATTGGCTTGATAATCTTGCTCTAATTGGACCATTGATTGTTCACCGTTAGCTAATTGCAAAGTTAACTTGGAAATATTATGCTTGTCCCAGCCATAGTTAACTCTACCAGAAAATGATAAAGAGTTATCGATATTACCTTGGAGGAAATAGTCATCAGTGGCATACAATGCAGAGAATGCATATGGTGGTAATACATTGGATCCAATGGATAAAGTGTGGGAGGTTTGGAAAGCTGGGGACATGGAAAATGCCTTATTCAAGTCAGCTCTTAACCCAGTGAAAAAGTATTGGTTGACGAAAACATTACGGGCAACTTCTTGGTTTAAGTTTTCAATTGTTCCTGGGTTAGTTAAACCGAGTGACTTACGATGTTCACTGATGGTAATATAGACATCATTTATATAACTGAAAACAGGATTCGAGGACCATAAACCATTTGACTTTGGAGGTTCTGGAGTGACACTTGGTAATGTTGGAATGCTCAACTTAGATAAGTCACCTAAAGGCACAGGAGCTGTCTTCTCTTGTTGTGACATCGTGTTTGTATAAGTCTATTTGGAATACTACTGATTCATGCAATTCTCCTGAAAATTTTCGAAGAATTTTTGACAATGATGGGACGAAAAAAAAAACTGGACCCCGTTCTGAAATTAACTTAACGGATTTTTACTCTTCCATAATGCCGTGCTATTCATCTCAGTAAATTTCAGTCTGTAATTCACGTGATTTCGAATACGCTAACCAATAGTTCGGTATCAATATTTTACAGCCAATTGCTTCTAATATCAATGAAACCCTCATTGAATATCCTAGATACCCTACCAACAGAGGTTCATGGTTCCTGTCATTATCAGTAGGAGCCATCATTCGACTCACCAAAGGTAAAATGTACCAAATCTATTTTTTTTTTGGGTATTTTGGCAATTATTTTGCATAAAACATTCCAATCTATATGAAGGTTGTTCTCTTGGGGATTCTCGTTCGTTCTGGACCTGCAAAGACGATTTTCGAACTTCTATCAATTCTGCCAATACCAAGCATCGTGCAATTGCTAAATCTTGAATGTCAGATCAAAAATATCCTAGGTTACATTGCTGCAATGAAACCCGAAGAATGGAGAAAGGTCGCAATTGTATCAAGGACAACAAGAACTCAGCATATCTAATACCTTCAAGTTTTTCAAAAAAAGTAACGGTTATCCGTACTGCACTAACCAATCGAAATAGGAGCAATTCTCCCAATTAATGTTCCATTGCATGACATCCAACACGAAGGGAATTTTGTATGGAACAACCGCATTAGAATAATGAGCGAGCTAATGAAAATACTGGGGGAATGTCTCGTAGATGCTTCTCTCGCCTTACAAAACACCATAAATGTACCAAAAATCGACAATGGTGACGATTTGTGAATTGCTCGGGCCCTTTGTCAATATGAGTTATTCCGGAATCAATATAGTCATTCTACTTGAAAAACCAAAAAGTCCTTTCCATGCCGTTGGTCCCAGGGAAACATTTATGTACAATAAAACAAGCAGTCACCACATCTTTAGTTCGTTTTAGAAGCATGCACCTTAAAATTTAATAAGCAACCTACGACAACAGCTAGCGAAGCAAGGGTAAAGTAGTTAGGAGTCTCCGAACAATCTGATCTTATTATATAAATAAATAGCAAATATACATTCGAATAGACTAGATCAATAATAATGAACACATAAATATTAGAATGAAAGCGGAATTAATTTCTCGAATTTCCCGGCTTGTATTCTTTTGGCATTTTCTTGTTGAGGGTAAGTTCATTCTACGAGTTCTGCACCTAAATCAAGAACATTATAAGTACGTTATCAGGAATTGATGTTACTGGAACCACCGTGGATGTCTCATAGGAATCCGTTCGTTGTATCTCCAAGCTGGTGTCTCTAACTTTGGCTCATCCACCAACTACAATTCTTGAAGGGTTTTTAAAAGAAGTATGTTTTCTAAAGTTCAAATAAACATAACTGGACTTTTACTTACAAAAAAGGACTTTTGAGTCTCAATTGGATCCCAGGCCGAGACTGTCGCTCTGTACTTTAGAGAATGAGAGAGTGTGTGTATTTGTGTTGGGGGGGGGGGGGGGGGGGGGTTTGGGGCCTTTTAACAATTCCCATTTTTTAAGGGAAGCCNGTTGGAGGGGGGATCTAAAAGAGCGAAAGAAAGAGAAAGAGAGAGAGAGACAGATTGGAATTAAAAAAGTTTTCCCTTAGCCTCTTGACAACTTCCAGTTATTAAAGGAAGACTGTGTTACCAAGAGTGATTACTCCGAAGTACGGAGAATTCACCTGGCCTGTCTACGGACAATTAGTGACAAATGAATGGCAGAGCTCAATCCTTGGGTGAGCCTCTGGGGCTTTGAGTGAAGGGCTGTGGAGGTCGGGTATACTGACTTTATAACAACTCCCTTCCTAATCAGGATCATCTAGTTTAGTTTGCAGCCACGTTCTCTAGAGCTGATGGTCTGTATGCAGGGTATACAGCAGGCCATATTTCATAGATTCTTTACAATTCAGGTCGTTCTACCACTTGCCACTCCATGGGTACCGAATATTTCGGGCGTACCACACGGTCTATGGGGCAGACTCCTTACCGTGATGGTCCTATGACCACTTTCCACATAAAGCTTACCTTCATTTAGTTCCGGGTATGAGCCACAGGAAGGTTACCCAAGCTTCCCAATATGAGCCTATGACAAACAGGTAGCCCCTTTCATCTCGACTTCAGCTATATTGATTTCTCCCCCAGGTCTGACGAATGAGGACCGTTCCCTGGGGTATGGGTCGTCCATTGGCCATACCTAGGCGGTTAGTTCACGGGTAGAGTCAAATCTCCGGCTCTTGTGCAAGAACTACTGTTGCAACTTCTAAGGGAGATGAGCGCGAGGCTATTCAAGTGGAGTAAGATTCCACATTATTGGTGTCTACGACCGGGCAATGTCTCATGTGTCACGCCTATGGGCGTACATTCCAGGTGGATCACTCCTGGTTTTGACTGGTTGGTATGAGTAGCGATCATCAGCATCTGTGACCAGGCAAGTATGGAATCCCGCTTTTCTCACAGGCTCAATACCTCAACATCACTTATGTAAGGAGAGGGTTCTCTGTCACCGGTGACTGCCATGGCTTCTCATCTTAGCAGTCGTCTTTCTTGCCCCCCCACGGTTCTAATTGGCTTAGGACCTCTGTAAAGCTCCTCGCACAATAAGGGACCGAGTCTGGTTCCTCTTCCCTGAGGGTGTGGTGTTCCCCAACACTAAGAGGCTCTCCTTACTCGTGGGTCTCCAAGGGGTTATTTGTGACCATTAGATTTGAAATTCTATGTCACCATCGGGCCAGTGGGTGCCCTACTGGCACTTAAGCGCTCGAGGGGACAATCACATGATGGTGACATATTTGCCCCTAGCACGTTGGCCCTATAGAGACGCCGTCCTAAGTGGCCAACATTTCTAACCGCTAGTGTTGTCACATTCTTTTCTTCTCGGTTCATGCGCTTGGGGATCAGGATTCCCAAGTCTAAGAACTAGTGAAGCACTTCAAGATGGCTTGATCTGCAATGAGGCCGCTGTCAAAGATTCTTCACTGGTGCTACACCTACAGTTTACTGGCTGTCGATGAGGGCTAGAGGAAACAAGCTTTGCCAGCTCCCTATTGTAAGTGATTTCTGATGGATAGAATATTTTAAGGAAAAAAATGGTTGCAACTTTTCAGTTATAACGGTATGGTATGTAAGTGGGAGGATACACGAGGTTGCTCTTTCTTTATTAGCTTCTTTTAGGATTTTATAAATTTTATAATTTTAAAGGACAACTTCTGTTCAGTAAACTTTCATGACTCCGGCTAGGATACTCGGATATGGCGACCCTACTCTTGGCAATTCAAGCGTTGTGTCTATTTGGAATGCACCTTTGTTTGAATTTGCAGGGCTTGTGGTCTTAATCATCGTCTTTGGTTCCTAGGCTAGGGTTGGGACTTAAAATCAACACCATTGAGATGTCTCTCTAATAGTGCTGGCTTATCTACTCCTATACTCCTCCCCTTCTCTCCTGCCCTTGTTGTAGATAAGCCCTGGTAGGTTGACTCAGAAGTGTTAGACCTCTAGGTAACACTGAGTCTGAACAAACGTAACGTTCGTGTGGTACAGGTGCTTTGTGTCGGCAGTCCATGAACGGCCAGCTCCATGGATAGGTATTGCCGTAATGTCTTGATTTACTCAAAATATAGCTGAGTGCAAGTCGTTATGAAAGACTAGCTCTATCGTTTAGCTACAGCTCCGGTGTCACCAGGGATACTAGTGCTGAACTCTCCATATTGAGGGTACCTGCTAACAGGTGCTGAATGCCACACATTAGCCAATGGATTAGGTCTCCTATGGCTGGTGTGGTCTGGGTGGAACATACTTGCGGGTCTCTAGCCTCCAGGTCCGTCATAGCCCGGTGCAGGACTACCTTCACTAAGACCAGATCCACAGCCTGACTCATATATTTATATTGATTAATGATCGTATTTCGATCTTGGTCATTCATGATCAAATTCCGACCATAGTATCTTGCATATCTCTCTCGTTTTTTTTTCTTTAAACGCTATCGATTAAATTATACACTGAAATTATAAACTAGAATATATAAACTGATACTGACCCGCTGATACAGATAGGGCATAACGTTCTGAAGAAATGGTAAAAACCTTTTATCAGTTAAGTTCATGACAGATGCAACGCAAGTAGTACGTGAGTCCAAGACCAGCAGAACTGGTTGTATACACACTAAAACCATTGGTACGAGGTGGCTGGGGGATGAAAAATGAGTTAGGATGGGGTTAAGTGGATAGCGCTAGGTGGAAATGAATTTTGATCATTCGGATTTTACCGGAACTAATGGGGTCTTCTGTCCGCATTTTTCCATGAAAGCGAACATATTTAGGAATAATGTCGTGACTATACTGACAATAACACAAAATCTAGTTTGTGAAACCGGAGTTATCATGGAAACGGGTCTAACACCGGCTAAATAAACACCCGGAAACGGAGCAAATGACGCCGATACCGGAGTAGGATGAAACTACATGCAGGAACTTTATGGACGGGTTTAAGGTATACTACAAACCCGATACGGCCGTAAGAAAAAAAGTTAAGGCTCGTAAAATTTAGTATGAGGAAATGAACTTTAATGAAATTTCGCACAGATCCGGCATATAAAAACAGCTATTTAAAAATTATTTTTTTGCACACTTCCTGCAAAAACTGATAAATTTTTTAAGTTTGGCTAGTGCAGGACTGCACGCCTGCATATGACCAGTTCGTTACACAAAATATGTTTGCGGAACTGCCCAATATGGTATAGACCGGTTGGGTTGTTCATTTTCGGCTATTGCCTATTTTGGTATATAGCCGGTAGGACAAAACCGAAATCGGATGGGACAAAACCGAATTCTGGAGAGCCGATGGGACAAAGCCGGAGTCTGCAACCAACAGGATAAGAATCAGGTCATATGTATTAAAGCATAAATACCACTAGGCCCGTTGACTTGTAAGATTCACAGAACTTTGTATTTTATATGCACTTACTTTTGGCGAAAGGTTTCAACCAACTGAAAGGACTACAAGCGTTCAGCCTAGGGCAGCGACACGCGATGTTGCTCTCAAACGACCTGATGCAAAAAAGCCAGATTGTTCACCAGATTGGATGGATTTTGTTAACAGAAAAATGTTTGTATGTAAGTGTGGATGTTTACTTTCTAACAAAAATAGCAAATATGGTGAACAATTAAAAGCTCACGGTTGAGTTTATGCCATTTCGAAGACTGGTCCTTATGTATACCCATCTTAGCCTCCTTCCTGATGATCTGCATATTTGATCGCTTTGGGATCCTTCTAGCAGTGTGGTTTTATAGGGGAGTTCTTTTCAACCTTAGGAGCGGTATCACGAGACTATAAGCTGGTCATTATAGCCATCGCGTACCATCGGCAGCCTACCAGAGCGTACTAGCGAAAAGGCTTTCAGGATGGGTGACTTGATACATAGTCCTTCGATATGGGAACCGCTTCCCTACCTCTTCTTGGGATCAAGCTTTAGGACCCGCTAAACTACATATGGGACCTCAGGGTACTCATCTACGCAACCTAGGATCCTCGCTGTTGTCTTCAGTCTCAGGGCCCTCGCTATGGTTCTAAGGGGTCTCCTAGTTTACCACAATGGACCATAATCAAAGTCCAGCACTGTGATGTAACGGTAACATCAAAAAATGGTGTTCTTAAGATTGTAGTTCAACTACGCCCACAGCATAGGGTGACAGTCGGCTCATTTGCTAACTAAGAATAGCGCTAAGAGCCCATAGGAACTAATGGGGGGAAAGCGACCTGCTACATGGGTGAACCAGTCTAGATATGTTAGTGTAGATTCAACCAGCCTCGCAGGCTAGTCAGCCTAGAGAAGCTAGCGAGAAGGTGAGCCCCTGGCCTCTAGGTTCTGCTGCTCCGAGTTTCTCTTTCAAATGAAAGAATTGGCCCTATGAATGAGACCGAGGGGTTTGGAGATACTCTAGTGGGACTTAGGTTGGATTCTCCATCAGTAATGTTGGACTATTGAATGCCTATAGTCCTGATGGTTAGACTTCTCATTAGCTTGATGTTGAAGTCTCCCGCTTTTCTCTGAGTCTATGAGTGAGTTCTTTCCTTGCGATTGTGTGACACCTTTCTTCTTCGGGCTGTGTGTGATCCCCTCCTTGAGGTTATGTGAGGGTGCTCGTGTCTGATATTGAGTGCCACCTTACCGCTAGCCCTAGACCTGAGTGAGGCTGAGACTTAGATGGCTATGGGAGGCAAGGACAGACTGAGTGGCCCGTCTCTTTCACGGTAGACTTTAGTACTATGAAACATAAGGACTTGAACCTACGTCTGCTCTGTGAAGGAGAGTAGATGTCCCTGTTGGTATATTTTTTCTGAGTACAATCCCGTTATCTGGGGAATGTACTAGTATTTAGATTAGAGTGGTCCCTCCGCAGTGGTCTGGGACCTATCTACTCCCTGATAGTCACTGATGCTATCTACTCTGGCCCTTTAGTTGGCATTTGAAATGGATTCGGTACTTTTCATCCTCTCCCTATCTAAGAAGTAGTGGGGTACTCCAGCACCTAATGTGTTTGACCACTCAGATTCCTTTGAAGAGCTCTCGGATACCTTCGTTGTCTCAAGAGGGGGTTCAACTTGGTGCTGGCCGTAGTGAGTACTATATCCCTCTATCAGCGTCGGAAGAGCGTCTAAAAAAATCCTAAACTAAGGTGCGAGTGTGGGCCCCCAGGTGGTGAAAGTTATCTCAGGCTTTCCTAGCTGTCTAGTATCCAAACGTTGAAAACCTTTGCTGTACAGCAGCATGAGATATGTCAGATGGACTCCCAGATGTCAGCATGACATAGAAACTCTCCACTACATTGCCTCGCACGTCTTTTTCTCGTACGGCTTGTGGCTGTTTGCTTCAATCGGAGTTGGCTGCATAAAGAGCTAGGTCAAAGGCGATGGTTGTACAAACTCTCGACGGCTCATGGCCCCCTGTGTTCTGAGATCCATAGACTACACAGAGGGTCCTAGGCTAACCTGAGGTAGTGGGAGACCCCTAGAATGGGTGTGGCCGAGGCGGGCTCGGAGGCATCCGTTGGGCGAGGCTGTGTAGGAGAGGTTTGCATCACACCGAGGGGGGGATTGGCTTAGACGACACCAATAATATGAGGAGAGTGCTTTAATTTAGGCTTGGGCCAGCTAGGCTTAAAGAAGAGCCCCTCGTCTAAAATAATGCTGGGACTATAGAGAGATGAGGGCGGGGGGCATAGGTGCGGGCTTGGGCCAAGCCAAAGTGGCCCTTAGCCTTAAGCCGACGTTGAGAAGTACCCCTAGCACATCAAGCTGTGAGCCTCGCAGTCAGCCGCTTACTTACTGGAGTTCCGGGGCTTAGAGGTACAACGCAAGTATGAGTGAACCTGAATAGTGTCTTCTTGTCAGTCTGGAGTTTCACAGAACCTTCATTGCGATATCCATTTTCAATTAAGCTGTACTTTCGTGATTGACGAACATCATAAGCATTTTTCTCGAATCTGCCAAAAATCCCTTACCTGTGTACGGGAGCCACATTCAAATTGGACAATATCAAAGCTAAATGCAAATTAGTTTGAACTTTCTTGTATTTCTTCGGTGTTGCACCTTCTCATTCGCTTTTACGACTAAACAAAGTAATCCTTCACTTCAATTGATACGAGGCAAACTAACTGCTACACAACCTGTTGAGTTCCTTGAGAACCGACTGACATCTAAAATGATCCCACTTTTAGAATTCTCAAACAATGCATGTTGTCAAAGTTACTTCGGATCTTACAAAAGCATTATACCCTGGTTAAGCGATACTTACAAACAGCACTATTTGCGTATACCATTCCTTTCATATAGAACAAGGTATTATAATACAGAGAGTGGTAAAGTAAAAGTAATATAGTACAGACAGTGCAACTCCTGGTCTTCTTGTAGATACTCAGATAACCTTATATGAATTTATGCAAAGCTCGCAAGGTAGAACCACTTAAGGTAATCGAACATCCTCATTCAACCCTTGCTAGAGAGGCGTATATACTGAATGGAGCTGGTCGGCAGACATATTGAAGTCATGCCTCAATCTCTTCAAATTGCTTTCATTGTACTGAATATACACAGTCTAAATTTTCTAGATTCACTTTTCAATATGGCATGATACTTGATATCCAGATCTAAAATAGATACGCATTGATTTGGTAATCATATGAGTTCCTGTGGAGGGCTAGTATTCCCTCTAGTTTGCCTATCCAAATTGCCAGCAAATAAAGAAGCCAAGTTAATTCTCTTAACTTTTCACAATCTGCAATTGACCAGTGTGGGGCTAAGTTGCAATGGCTTGTACGTCATGGAGTTCTCCGGACTAGCTCCATCTCCCAAGATAGGTTGTTTATGGTGTTCCAGCAGCACAATCATGCTGCGCTGGTGGATCATTAACTACCGTGACATGGTTATCATCTATAGGTTCGCTTGTAGACAAGTTCAAGGAGCATAGAAAGGGTCTGTTTGAAAGGTTCTACGACGTGTGTCCGTTGCTAGTCAGTTATGAACATATGCACAAGTGCGGAACTCTCTATCTTTATCCATCCGATACTTTCCAAGGAACAGGTCTCTAATGGACGCCATTTCCTCGATCATTCCGCTATCGCTATAAACAAGGATTCCTTGGTAAAGCTCCCAAAAATATTGCCTCGTTGGCACCCGGATGACAAATAAACCTTGTTTAGCTGCCATTATCAGTGAAAACTATTTATTGTTTGAAATAATTACATGACTAGCCCTAACAGTAGGAACAGTCTTTAGCTGATCTCGATTAACAAGGTGTACAACACTATTTGAACACGGAATTGATTTCTGGAGTATCTTTCAAGTAGTAATTGGTCCTACTCGTATACAATATCGGGGGGCGGGGGGGCTAACTGTCTTACAAAATAGCTCTAGTAGGGCATTCTTATTCATGATTCCAATACATATAAGCGAATTCCCTTTCCATTGAGAGTGCCGATTTAATCTTTATTTGAAAACGACTTATAATACATGAAAACTACATAAAAATAAATCCTAACTAGTACATCGTAGAAATATCATCTATTCAGCAGATTCCTCTTGATGCTGTTGATGGTGGTGTGATTGCTGACGGCGATTACTGTTATATCCTCTTTGGTGGCCACCATATCTATTTCTATTATCTCTATTGGCATATCCATCTCTATTGTATTGACCTGGGCCTCCACCTCCTCTTCTCTTTTGATTTCTGTTTCGTTGCTCCATATTTAAAACATTCTGTTCCTTAGCGTAGTCCATTATCTCTTCTGGGATTCTTAAGAACTTGATATGCATTCCTCTAATATATATTTCAGGGATCTTGGTGAACTCGTCACCATTGGCGCTTGTTTGGATCACATCCTTAAGAGTGAGATTCATCCAGGAATCGCAATTAACTAAATCACCATTGTAGGTTTCACCTGTTTTCAATTCAATTAGGACAGGTTTTGTTTTGGCTGCTGTTAATAGATATAAAGGGAGCTGCAATTCTTTGTTAGTATTACGTTCTTTGTGACTACCATTCTAGGGGGGAGCTTATTCAAAAAGTACTTACCATTCTTAAAGCAAAATGGCTGATGTAATAAATTGCTAATAATTACAATAAACCCCTGCTATAGTTTAAGTATTGGAAAAGTTTTTGTATCAGCGAAAGTGGTCGTGTAAAGATGGCTAATTTATGCCTACTTAGTGTATTTATATGAAGCAAGTTCTTAGGGGAATTCAATCTTCAAACAATCGGGATGAACTACATAAAGGAAGTGTCTAAACTAATTCACGGTGCTTGGACCTGGCCGACAATTATTTGATTCAGTAGGATTATGTCTCTTTTTTTAACAAGGAAGTTTTCCTACTGTTTTTATTTGAAATTTCACCAAAATATTTGCAAATCATCACCAGAGTAGATTCTCAAGCCGTTGGTTTTTGACAATCAACAGGGTGAGCTGTCAGTAATATAGTATGATTCTTTATAGAATATACAGCAGCCGTCATTGTATTATAAAAGGAGAGCCATCTAACCGGAAACTTTCTCATTTTAGTATTACTTTCTCATTTTAGAAACATACATAAGCCCAATAGTTGAAGTGAATGATAGTCAAGTTAGAAGTGCATTAGTTTTTAAATCTACAAGAGAAGTTCGATATATATCAAATTTTAAAAAAGTGAAAAACAAGTAAATTCTTATAAACTTCTAAGTCTCTAAAAAACTAAATAAAGACAAACTAACTAATTCCACCTATCCATTTATTGATGGTAGGTTTCTGGAGGACCAAAGAAGGAATATTGGACACCACCAAAATCAGCAACAACTTTTTGGAAAACCACACCTGGTTCCAAAGCCCATAATTTCAAGGTATGTTGACCAGCTTTAGTGATCTTGTGGGTGGTGTTATGAAGCCAAATAGTGTCAGAAGCAGCAGATTCCCAGTTATCAGGCATGTCAAGAGGGTTGGTTGGATCAAATACAAGTTGGACTTCTTGTGGTTTTTCATCATCAACAGCAATAGCGTATTTCAATGGACGATGAGGATTGGTGTTAAGCGATGGCGAAGTGTAGACAGTGATGTTGGTACCGTATTCTGGGGTGGAGAATGAGTAGAAGTCATATTCTAAATGAGATGCATCATCTTCAGCTGGTTGAGAATCACAAGTAACAGGGAATAAAGTAACACCGGATAAAGTTCTACCATATCTGTCAATAGTGACAAAGTAAGTACCATTAGCAGATTTGTTGCTTGAGAAATGTTCAGCTTCAATAGAGATCAATTCACCAGCTTCAACGAAACCATGGAAATCCTTAGGAGCTTCATTCTTTTGGATTGGTAAATGAACACTTGGATTACCAAAATAACCATAGGTACCATTGGAGTTAATATCCATGAATACGATATTCCAACCATCAGGAGCATTCTTCCAGTCAATTTCAACATCAAGTCTAATTGAGTTCCAGATACTGTCGTTTGTAGCAGAAATAAAGCCTTCAGATGGAATAACCTTGACAAAGTCGGAGTATACAGTAACGTTGAAAGTAACATCTTCATTACCTCTGTTGAAAATGTCAATGTAGGTACCAGCAGTGTAGGGATCTTGTTGAGGTAAAACTAAGGTGTTGTTTGAATAAGAAACAGCATTGTATAAGTCATCACCTGGAACAGCACCTCTTGATTGGTCAACAGAAACACCCAAAGATCCAGATAAAGCGTTGTCATCTTGTTGAAGAATAGAAACTGGTGGCATGACATCTCTCATTGGCTGTTGCCAGTAGAAATAACCCAAATGAGTTTGATCCATCATATGATTCCATTTACCATTAAGCATAGAATCCCATTGTAACTTCCAAGAATGATCATCACCGAATCTCTTTTGAACATAAGCAGCTAAGGAATTTGCTTGGTTTCTTCTTTGTTCAGCATACAAGTTGTTCTTACCAGCAGAAAGAAGGATGTCATGGAAAGTGTAACCAGCATAAACAGGGTGAAGAACTAATTGGAAAAAGGATGGTTGGACATTCTTAGGTAATTGGTTGTAAACAGCCCAAGCTCTATCGGACAAATCTGACCATTGTTGTAAGACGGTTTCAGCTTCTTTATAGTTGTACAAGTGATAGGTGGTTGTGTTCAAAGATTCGTACTTCTTTCTAGCAGCATAGAACCCGTAAAGATCAACAATATCAGCAATTTCAGTGGTGTTTTTGTAGTATTGACCAAATTCTCTAGCTGCCCATGCTTCTGTCCATTCGGTAACGGTGTTAATTGGTCCCCATTTTTCATAATGGTAACCTAATGAAATAAAGTACTCAATTGGAATTTCTAATGGTTTCAAGTCACCAACATTGACAAGCCAAATGGTGTCTGCTTCCCTTTCTTTAGCTAAATGCATTTGTTCCCAGGTTCTAGTCAAGGAAACGGTATTAATCCATTTGTAATCAACTGGATCACCAACGTAGTCAAAGTGGAAATAGACACCAGCACCACCTGTTCTATATGTTTCATTAGATAATGGCAATCTTCTAATGTTACCCCAGTTATCGTCAACCCATAATAAAGTGATGTCTTCTGGAACGGGCATACCTTGTTCGTAATATGATTGAACTTCTTTGTATAAGCACCAGACTTGTGGGACAGCATTAACGTCAGGAAAATGTTCGGATAATAATACTCTTTGATTAGCAATAACATCTTCTAATAAACTAGTTTCCTCACCTCCAGAAATTGGATTATCACCGAAACCTCTCATACCCACAGTCCAGACATTGTCAAATGGCTTGGATCTTACAATACCAGCTTCCCAGAATTTAAGGATATTATCCTTGTTAGTGGCGTAATCCCAGGAACCGTTTCCAAAAACGGTCCACTCGTTTGTAGCTCTCATCAATGGTTCAGTGTGAGAAGTGGACATAGTAATACCATAATAGTCAGCCCAATATTGATTTTCTGGATCATCTTCACCAAACATACTTGCCCACATAGCTGGCCATAAGAAGTTAGCTCTCATTCTAAGCAACAATTCAAAGACATGGATATAGAATTGATGAACAAACCAGGAATCGTAGTTACCTTCAGGGAAATATTCTTGAACCCAAGCAGCTAAAGCTGGTTGTTCATCGTTAAGGAAGATACCTCTATACTTGACACCAGGTTCCCCTTGAACCTTACGGCTCTTGTCAACATAAACTTGATCATGAGATTGTGGAACAACATCAGCAAACCAATACCATGGAGAAACACCAATTTGTTCTGAAATATCATAAAGACCAAAAATAGAACCTCTCTTGTCACTACCAGCAATAATCAAGGCACTCTTGATACATGGAGCAGGATTATCAATAACTTGCATGACATAGGATTCCCATTTGCCATCAATTTCTTTGGTGCTGATTTTCTTGTCGTCAACCAATGAATCAATAAAAGTATTGTTTCCCAAAGTACCAACAATAATAGCACTGTCAACATGTCCGTGGATGTTTTGACAAATGTTTTTAGTATAATTTGCGACAGGTAATTGATGTCCAGTAACTCTCTTAAAATCAGCACTCAAATCTTCCCCAGCACGGTTTACACCTGGCCAGTCATTTTGGTTAAGGAACAAAGTAGCAGAGTCACCCTTGGAGTGTAATTGTAATCTGTCTTTACCTCCATCGAAGAAAATGTTTTGTTTGCCTCCCAAAGCATTGACAGCTGTTGCTAAAGCAATCAACGTCGGAACATATGAAAACAACATGATGAAAGGGAGTTCGTTAATTTCTAGAAAATATATCAAAAGGCTTCAGTGTCCAAAACAGTTGTATTTATAATTATTCATAATTTGGATTCCCAAAGTGACCCTCATAATTGTCTGATAGTTACCAGAAGATAGTATGAACCATTGTTTCCGGAAGTAATTTGCGTAAAAAGAAGGCTCTTAGACCTTCTCGGTTTGATGATTTCGGTGTTATTAGTTTGAACATTTTACCGACGATGATACTAGTTGTTGCAGGATCCTCCTTGACCTTCTGTCCAAAAGTAAGGTACCACTAGAAAACAATAAAAAAGTGAATTAAGGCTAACAATAGTCTAATTGTTCGACGATTCTACCCCACGAAAAAATAACTGGGGCTCAACAATAGAAACTAAAATCAATTTAAGCAGAAATATAATTAATTACAGGAAGTTCTCGGGCCAAAACACGTAAATGTGTAAGGTCTTATCCGTGGCACGATGATGCAACAATACGTGGAATCAGGAATGTTTATGTAAACATCTATTGTTCGCCTTAACCTTTACCAATACAATACCATTCTTTCAGGAATTTCCATTGTTTAAAGAGGTAATTTCGAAACATGGTGAACGAACTAGGTGGGGGTAAAGAACCGTAGTCAATAACAGTTCCTGGGGTGTTTGTTAACAATTACAGTTTTTTAAACAGCCCTCGTAATGGAAGGTGCATTCTGATCCAGCCTGATTGTTGAGGTGGCTTAGTATAAAGCCTGGGTCGTGCATGTTTTTAACATGCACCAACTGATTGTTCCACTTGGGTCACAAAAACATAGTGTCCTTCTTTTTTGCTGCCGTGTTTATTCCAATATCTTGTAGTCGTTTGATAAGTTTTCTGGGAAAGCAGGTGGAATACCAATGAGAGGGGTTTTGGGTGGGGCTTGAGGATTGTGATATCAGTCATTTGAATGGGAAAATTCTCAAAGCAGCTAGGATGCTTGTGACAACAGAGTATTTAAGTAGGCTTTGACAGTGTTGGGTCGTATTCAGTAAGGAATTACGACAATAGCTTCTTGGACATTTGTTCTTGGGTATTGTATTTGGTTTTAGTTGGGGTTCTCATGTTCGGTCCGAAATAGTTTTCAAATGTGAGTCTTTCACAAATGGATCCCAGTTTGGATTTGTAATCAAAGAAAGATAACCTTCCCCATTGAATTCACCAACCGATTTCTAAGTGGTTCCTTTATGGTGGTCGTTTTTTCAGTATCTCTAAGTTGGTAAAAGCATGTTGCGAATTTATCAAAAAAGCCAAAATTTAATGGCTAATAATTTCTGCCACCTAATTATGGCTCAGAATTTCTGCCACCAATAAGGGCTGGTGTCATAAGTCTTTGCAAAGCTATATGTAGCTTTTAATATATACTTAAAACAAAAGGGTATCCAAATCTTTTCTGCCCTCGAGTGTCTTCTACAAATCAACTTATTTCTCGTACCAAATGTTAACTCATCAGTAGAGTCATCATGTAGGCTTGATAGACAATTGGAATATAAAGTAAACCAATAGTTTCCGAAAACTAACGGGATAGAAATGGAAGTATTCTTTTTGTTCTTGGATTAGATTATGAAATGCAACGGACAAGATTCTTCCCCCACAAAGAACATACAAGAAGTTGGTTGTCACAATGGTTAACAAAAAGGGATTCATCTTGCGCTCGGGATCAAAATGACGATGTGGATTTGCAAAGTACTAGCTTCTCACTAAAATCGAATGAGGATAACAATGCTGTCACATATAGGCATAAATCCAGAAGGGCCACGGAGGGGGGATACTCTACAAGTTTAGTAAAGCATTTAAACTCAAGGTTTTTTTAAAATCTTGAAGACATTCATTTTGAACATGATAACCATTGCATCTTGATTTAACGACAGAAATAAACAGCATAGAATGAATAGTCGTTAACGTCATTAATCCCTTTTGGAAGGTTAAATGATGCGTTTGACAAAATTTCTCTTAAGTGAAGTAAGACGTTTATTCTTCTTTGTCACGGGGGCTACGTAAACTCTTATTATGATAAGATGTTATATTTAATAAACTGTAACAGAAGAGACGACAGTTGCTTTTCTTCTTGGACTTGAAATTCAGAAATAATGGCTGATGTGTGTATAGGGTTTTTTTCATAGAATCAATGTCTATTTATAATGTCTATGGCAGACTATACGCCTAAAGAGTATCTAAATACCCAACGTTTGAGCGAGAATAGAGGAACTATCAGATGACTGAATTTGAAGGAAATGCATTGAAGAACGGCATTTGGGACTCAAAGTCCAACATCTTACGACCAAAATTTATAACACCGTCTTAATACCCACGAACCCCCCCCATCTTGATTTTTTTTATGACTTATTAATGTGTGTATATTACAAACCAAAAGGATTGCGTGAAGTTAGATTACCGCTAATCTTGCTTTTTGGGAATACTATTGGGTGTATTAGAAGTAAAGACTAGGTCCTTTTTATAGAAGTAAAATAACTTATGTAAACTATCTACACTAGACTTGAAGTAGGGGGAAGTTGAGACATATTTATATTTGTTCATTTAAGCGCCGCATGGTACTTTTATTGGATAGACTATAAGCATAACGACAGCATTACTAATCAAGAGAATTAAGCATAATGACTAAGTGTACTTAGGAATCCCAACTTGGTCGTAACATGCTCTGTATAATTTTACTAATTACATAGTACTGCACAGGTTTCACAATACCTTACTAGTTTGAAATTCATCCATAATGAAACTGGACGGTACAATTAGGCTAACAACAATGATTAGACTAGGATTCNAGGGGGCACTGTTTTGGGACGCGGTTTGATAACAATTTGATAATAAATTGGTATCTGTTTAGCGAATGTAATAGTCTAAACTAGCCAAATGTAAATTATAAGTAGTAGTGATCAAACAATATACAAATTATATATAAAATAGTCCATCCCTCCTCCCTTACATTCCATCGTAGATGAAGATAATTACAACCACATCTGTCGTTCCCGCAGTCGTCGAGACAAAAGTGAAAATTCATGCCTGCATATCGTCTATACGATACTCCTTTTTTTTTTTCTGATACAATGGATACTGAGTGATGTCGCGACCCTATCTCCAATGACAATTCGCGAACACGCTTGGACTATATAAAACAGCACACGTGGATGATAAAGTGACGTGGTTCCTGTATACGTCTAAAATAGGAAGAATGGTAGACCACCTCAAATATACATAACCTCCTTTCGCCTAAGCACTATCTTCTAAAGACGAATTATGATGGGGTATGTAGACCAGAACAGTTAACAGAGGACCTGTATACATTATGAAATAATACTGGAGGCTAAACTAACGGACGGAGGCTTTTGTTTGTATAAGAAAATGAACGTTTTGTTCCGGTACATAAGGACCCTAATTTTTTTTTTCTGAGAGGAGAATGCCTCGCCCAGCAGTAACAATGGAAATTATACCCTTCGCGAAAAGTTGAAAATCTAAATTTAGAACACTCAAAATTCAATCTTAGATTCCATTTTTACTTGTAAGGACATTGTCATTATGTTTAATAGTAGAAGATTCTCATATCCGAGTATAATATTAGCAATAGTAATAGGGCTCATCGTTGTCTTCAATGTTCACTTTATTGTGTACGGTAATATTTCGGGCGAGTCAAACACACAAGCCTCATTACAAGATGAAGTAAGTAGAGTTGGCAGCGAAGAATATCGAGCTTCTATGATAAATGAGCTCGAACAATCCAACAAAGAAGAACTTCTTAACGAGTTGAAGAAAAAAATAGAAGATACTGAAAAGCCCCGGCTCATCCAGGAACTCAGAGATCAGATTGCAGCCACACACGAGGATGCAATTAAAGAGGCTTTAAGAAAACAAGTTGCTAAAGACTATACTTCAAAATATTTTAAAGAGCAAGTATTTTCCTATAAGTTGTTTGAAGATTTGGCAAGTGACTATGCTCAAAAACACGTCAAAGAGTTCAAAGACTTTGACTTGTTGGATGCATTCAAAGGTATGTCGTTCCCGGATATTTCCCTCCCACACGACTTCAATAAAAAGCTTGAATCACATATGAGCAAGTACCTTGATCGACAGAAGTATTTTACACACGTTTTGAAAGATATTCTTATTGCAAATAAACCCAAATGTGAACCAATAACTAAGGAAGAGGGCGGTAGAATCAATCCAACTTATCAATGGGACTGTAGGAAATTGTCCGAAAAGGACCTTCGAGATTCTGGTTTGAATTTGTCTGACGAAAAATTCGAAGCATTGCAAGATTCTCATGACAAATTGGTCAAAGCTTTGAAAGTCTTACCGGATCCTCTACTACATTTTATAAATGGAGATGGTATTGTTATAAATGGTGGTGGTGGAATGATTGGTGGTGCTTTAGTAGCATTAGTCAATTTGAGAGAGCTTGGCTCTACTTTGCCTGTTGAGATAATTCTTGATAAGTCGACTGAATACGATTCTGAAGTATGTGACGAATTATTACCAAACACTCTTAACGCCAAATGCGTTGTTGTGGAAAGGGAGGTTGGAAAAGATGTATTGGAACGTGTCACTGATAAATTTGCTCGTAAAGTTTTGGGAATTTTAGTAAGCTCATTCGACAATATAATTGCCTTGGATGCTGATAATTTAGCCATAAAGAATGTGGATTCCCTTTTTCATACTGAACCGTTTTTATCAACTAAGATGCTCTTATGGCCCGACATTTGGCATAAAACAACGAGTCCTATCTATTATGATATAGCACGATTCGAGAAAGGGGAACCAATACGTCGTCATGGATTAGGAAACGATCACTCTTTTACCGAATATATTTCTAAAGACAGATTTTCCGAAATCCATTACCATGATTTACTGGGTATACCTAAATCAGTAAGTACAGAAACGGGCCAAATAGTCATGTCGAAACGGAAGCACTTTAGGAGCTTGTTGTTATCTTTATATTATAGTTTAAACCAAAAGGACTTCTATAAGAGTTTGCTATATCAGGGCGCACCAGGCTCAGGTGATAGAGAAACATTCCTACCTGCATTGCACGTTATGAATGAGGATTATTTCTTGGAACATCAATCAATCTTCCGTATAGGTTACGATTTCAAAGATCTAAATAATAAAAAACATTCCGAAGAAACAACATTAGGACAGACCGATCCACGCGAGAACTACGAATTTTACAAACAATGGAGAGAATTCTTACAATCAAAGGACTTGGATACTAGGTTGAATCCATTTCAAGTTGGAGGCTACACTGCTAACCTACGCAAGGAATTTATCGAATCAATGAAAAAGACAATTAAAACTGAGCCCATTGATGGCGAAGAACAAGAAGAACATGTAGTTGAATATGAGCTTCCCAGTATCTTATTCTTGCATTGTCATCACCCAAAAATTGATCCAATTAAAAACGCAGCTGAAAAAGGGGAATGGGGTACATACTCAAAAAGAAACATCGGCCATCCAGAGAAACACGAAGATTTGTTTCGTGGTATTGATTGGGAATTGAAATTCCATACAATTGCCAAGTGGGTAGCTTGTGAGGGCTTGCAAAGTGATAACTTTTGGAAGAATATCGCGAAGGTGGATCGATCTGAAACTTGTGAAAGAGTTTCTAAATTTGTTGATTTCTTGATGAAAGATACCAAGGATCCAGATTCTTCCGTCTTAAAGATATTCAAAGACACTGAGCGACGTATTTAAAATGGATGCTATAGATTTATAGACAATTTAACTGCAATCATGTCGTAATATTACACTGTATTTTATAAAAACTAGCTTATTATTCTACTCTTCGGGATCAGAAATTTCACTTTCATCACTATCACTAACAGCATCTGATTCATAATCAGTTTCGTCTTCGTGATGATGTCCTTCTTCACAATCGGATTGGTCATCCGTTGAAATCTCTTCAATGTTGACACTAAACCCTTGCTCATTAAAGAAACGACTCATTTCATCTGATTGATCAGGCGGTAAACTTGTAAATACAACGGAGTGATCAGATGAGAACAACTTTTTGAAATACTTATTCAAGGCATAAACCACATCCTCTGGGCCCAATTGATTCAATTTCTTCAAATAGAATTCATCATATTTAGGTCCTCTTCTCTTGAATAAATTATCAATAATCTTACAATTAGCCGAATCATAACTATTATCCTGGGAATTGGCAAATTCATTAACAATAGCAGCAACTGCATTTTCAATACTAATAATATCCACTTCCAATTCCATATTAGCATATTGGTCCACAATCTGCTTGGCAGTTAACCAAGCTTGCTTTGCATCAGAGCCTCTGTAGATGCTGAAATGTAAATAGCCAGTTTCGACATTTCTCCTAATACTTGCACCATAAGCTAAACCAGTCCCTCTGATCCCTCTCCAAAATGGTCCTTCAACTGCAGTTAAAAATTCACTAGCAAGCGCGATTTTGAACATGTCATCATCTAAATAATCAGTTGGTATGGTTGTGAGTGCAACCAAATGAGTAGATTCAGCAGCTGGAATCTTAACTAGGAATGCTTCTTGTTTACAATTTGAACCTAAATTGGATCTAAATTGGAATGAACGTGGTAATCCATCAAATCCATCAGGAATGTATTCAAACTTACCATTGAGAGATTCTTCTTCTTTAATATATCCATCGGTAAATTTAGTCCAACTACTGATTGGATTTTTTAAATTAATTGCATTTCCCAAAATCAAAACCTTGATATTATCTAATTTAAATAACTGATTTCTAATAGTATTCAAATCATCTTGAATTTTGGAGAAATTTCCTTGTTCAATCTGTTCCAATAATCCTTTATAAAAGCTTTCCGTATACATCGAATCTTGTGCTTTTCTCATGGAGGATTTATCAAACATATGTCTATATTGACAAGAATACATCATTAATTCACCATTTCTCTTCTTATCAGGTAAAGAGTTGATAATCTTTTCAATAATAACTTTAATTCTAGACTCTTCAAATACTGAATATTTCGATACATTCAATAACCATTCAATTGCCTTTTGATACTTCTTGGTTTCAAATTTTACTCGAACAGTTATCAATTCCAAGAATTGACTTTCATATCCATTATCCAAATGGAATTCAATCAAATCATCATTCATTTGCGCGATTACTTTTTCATAAGGGATATATTCACCACCATTTGGTAATTGAATAGGTAATGAAAATAATTCTTCGATTATTGACATATAACTTAATAAATGAGAATCAATTCTAGTTGAGGACATGACTAATTGTATAGTAGTGAATTGAGATTTGAAGTCTTCAAGATGAATGAATAATGGGAATTGATTTTTTGGAGTATCGTTTTTTAACAATTGAATAAAATCATCATTCTCAACATATGGATTACATTTAATATCAACAAGAGATTCATAATATCCTGCTTTATAAGATTTTGTATTAATGAACGCAATTTTGGATGGATCAGGTTTTGGAAATCGAGTTACCAATTCATCTGGAATAGGTGTATCATTTTTCGTCTGAGCAGTATCTAACATTTCTTGAAGTTTTAATAACCCTTCCTTTCCATATTTCTTTTTAATTTCTTTGGTTAATTCTTTATGTTGCTTCTTCATAGCTTCATTCAATTTAGCAGATGGCTTACCCAAAATAGTGGCAGAATTGTTATCAACAAGATATTCCTTAATAAGATCACTCCATTGTTTTGCTGTCCATTGAAGTAATACTTCATATTCATTTAAATCCTTAGACCACTTTTCCAAATCAGAACCATCTGGATTACCATAGATGAATTCAAGAGTGGCAATGTTTGAGAAAACAGATGCTGCCTTTTCAGCCCCAGATATAAATTTCAATCGTTGTTGATTGATCATTTGTGTCATATAAGCCATGTCTATATTTTCCGGGATTGTTTGAGATAATATTAATTCCTTAACTTTGGAATCGACTTCTTTCAAATGAATAGTGGGGACACCATTGAAATTGAAATTAATAGTTGTTCTATAATAATCATCAGTTGTATAATCAATATCTGTAGATAATGGATTTTCAATCTCGACTAAATTCTTATTAAATAGCGAAATAGGAGAATCAGTAAAATAAGACCCCACCATATCAATAGCTGTATTTATTAACGTATCATTACCATCTGGTCCAATCCATGACATCAATAATTCTCCCATTGATTCATCAGCGTCTGGGAATTCAATTTCTTTAACAATAGTTTCCTTTAATTGCTCATCATGTTCTGAATCAACAAATGGTCTCTTGTTGGGTATTTCTGGTAAATCAGGTAATTCGTTATCAAATTCAGTCATAATTTCAAGTAATTCATCTTCATTTATCGACCCAGTAATGATAACACATAAATTATCCGGTCTATACATTGATTTATGAAATTCTTTGATTTGATCATTGGTTAAATGACGCAATTCAGACATAAGACCACCTGTTTCAGAAGAATAACCCGAAGTTGGTGCATATAAAGTCTCTTGCATCTTTTGGAATGAAACAAACCATGATTGATTTTCAATTCCTTGCATTTCACTGAAAACAACTCCCTTTTCTTTCCCCTTTCCATCAATATGGTATACTTCAGTCAAACAAGCTTCATCAGTTAATGTTGGATTAAATAAGTGATCCAAATAAACTGGTAATAATGATTTAAATCCATCCCAACCAGCAGTTGTTAATGTATATACAGTTTGATCTACTGCAGTCCATGCATTTGTAGATGAATATAATCGATTACCTAAATTATCTAATAAACCTTTATATGGATATTTCTTGGATCCCATAAACACTAAATGTTCTAAAGTATGAGGACATCCTGAGCTATCTTTGATTTCGGTTGCTACTGCAAAATATCCATTAACAATAGGAGAAGGTTGATTAATATAGGTGAGTTGTAAACCAGTTCTTTGAGATTTCCATTTTTTGATATGAGTAGGAGCATATTCAACTTCAAATGAAGATTGCTTTATGAAATGAGAAGCAACTTTTGTCATTAATTGATTTCTAATTTGAATTATCTTAACTGGTGGTTTTCTAAAAGGAAACTTCTGGTAATAATATTTATGATGTAAATGCGTTTCTAGTGTCTCTATAAAACTTCTATAAATTGTATACGGATTACCACTTGCCCTCGTAACTTACTCTTCTTAAGTAACTTGAAAACTGTCTTCTTTAAAGCAAATTGATATGAAATCATTTGAAATTTTTAAGGCTTTTTTTTTCATTGATCTTTGATTATGCGAAGAGCCCAGAAGAGAGAGAAAAGCTTAAGGTAAGAGATGGAGTAAATAAATATAGATGACAAAGTAATGTCGCAACCCAATGTCTATTTATTATTGGTTGATACATAAACTCATTATATAATATTTGACTTATCTAATTTCTTCTTCAGCTTCTTCAAATATTTTAAATATTGTTGTCATTTCATTCTTCATACTTCTTGTTAATTGAACCAAATCATCATCTGATTTATTATACATGACACAATTAGCAAACATAAGCATAATATCCCTTTCCAATTCCTTTATCAGTTGATATACTGGAGGATCCAATTTCAGTTTAACAGCTTTTAACATATTCTTTAAATCTTTTGGTTCATATATGACATCATAATAATCAGGGGCATCTTTCTTATTAACAGCATGTAAAAATGGAGATGAGAATCGATGTTCTTGAATGGCGGTGATTAGACTGACTCCGATATTCTGGAATCGTTTATGTTGAGATGGACCTGGAGTGGAGGCTGGTGACCGTGATCGTTTGCGTGAGTCCGATTTGCGGGTTTCTCTTATTGATTCTTCCTCTTCTTCCTCTTTCTCTTGTTCTTGTATATTGTCATTTTCCTTTGGCTCAACCTGCTCGTTCTTATCTTTTATAGATTTTTCTTCTTTGTCTTCTTCTTTCATTTCAGTATCAGATTCCGGGTTTTCCTCTGGTACAGACTGTCCCTCCTCAAGAGAAGCTATTTCCTGGACGCTTTCCTCTGCTTTATCAGAGTCACCGTGTCCTTCGTCCTCATCTTCTACTATGTCATTCTTTACGTCTTCTTCTTTATCTTCCTTATTATCTTCTTGAATATGATCCACTGAATCAACTTTCGCAACATCTTGCTCTTCTATCGTTTCGTTCTTAGTCTCTTTAGTTTCAATCTCAGTTGAAGTTTGTTCAGAAGATACATCTCCAATAGATTCAGGAGTTGAACCTGGTTTTGTCTCGTTCTTTTCATCATCATCTTCTTCTTGCTCTTCGGAAATATCTATTTCTTTAATAGCTTGAGGTAGCTTATCTGTCTCTTTATCCACCTCATTCTTTTCCTCATGAACGGTTGGTAGTTGTTTATTTTCTTCCTTTTCGGTTTCTTTAGCTGGTGTTGACTCCTGCAGTTGCTTTGGTGTTTCTTCCGATCCAATTGATTCTTTGTCAATCTCCATGTCTTCATCTACATCATTCTTTGCCTCTTGTTGCTGTCTATCCTCAACGACATTCTCAGCTGGTTTGATCTCCTCCTCTTCTGACTCAACTTCCATTGTTTGTTCAACAATCTCTTGCTGTTGTTGTTGTTTCTCCTTATTATAAGCATCTCTAGCATGTTTAAGTAGATATTTTGAATATCTTAAAGTTGAAGTTGCCACAATATTCTTCATTATATTTTCATATATTGGAGGCAGTATATCAATTATAACCTCATTATTATTATTTGAAATGGTTACAAATTTATGATATAAAGTTTTACTAACAATGAATAATAATAATTTAGAATCAATATCTGGGAAGTTAATATCATTATTATTAAATGTTGTTATATAATCTTTTGATTGTTTATTTAAGATTAAAAGGAATTCTTCTAATGATATTCCAATTTTACAATCATCTTTAATTTGTTGATTATATTTACTAACAACTTTATTAATGGCAGATCCTAATAATATAATCAGTAGATCTGGATTTACCTTAATAGGCTCTGACGACATTGTCTCTTGTCTCTTTGTTGTTGTTGTTGTTGTATGGAATAAAGATTGGTTTTAGTTGATGATGAATAATGCTTTTCTATTTTTTCGTTTGTTAAGGGTGTTGAAATTTTTCAGTTGATATTGGAAATATAAAAGGGAGATTCTTCTTGTTCTTCTTCTACATGGAAAGTAATTAATTAAAAGAGACTTCTTTTTAAATAGTTAGATATATTAATTAGAAAAGTAACTTTATAGAAGGTGTGATATGATTATCACGAAATATGTACATTGAACCAATTGATATAATTAATACAACTCTGTTTATTTGCAGCATACTAAAAAGTGTCAATCTTCAAGAGTATTTCAAATTACCACACCTCTACCTAAAGCCACAACTTTGATTTCAATCAAGCTACGCTGGAACTTGGTAGAACCAATCCTCACTTGTTGTCGAGAAATATAGTTTTGTTAAATCTTCAAATAATGCTAACTTTCTCGGTAACAAGGCGATTGATTCGATTATTATGACGATTAATTAGAGACTTGATATTTCTCCCATTTACTTCTACCATCAAATGGAAGTAAGTGGACATTATTTTGATTCTGGAAGTAAATATCTTCATCCAAGGGGGAAGCAAAATATGAATATTCCAGGAGTTGATTCTGTTTTTGCAAACCATCTTGATGTTTGGTGATTTATCGACAATAAAAGCAGAACACATTTGATAGCTTATTAGAGGGATAGATTGTGTCCAACTTAACAGATGTAATACGTAAGCATGTATGTGTATTGTTTTATAAATAAAGATAGCTTATAAATAATAATATGTACAAATAATAATAATAATAAGAAGATAATATATATAAGAGTAACAAACTATTAATCTTCTTCTCCAACTTATTAACCTTCTTTCTCTTTTTCTATCTATTCAGTCATATTCCATTTATTGTTGACCTTGCTTTTGCATCAATAAAGCACTAAAAACATGGGTTAGTATATTTAAATCATCATTGGTAAATCAAGCCCCGGGGGCAGCTAGGGGGGGAGGGGGTTATATACATACTTTTGTTCTTGGAATCTTTGACCAACACGTTCACTATGTTTTAAGAACTTTTCAGAACATTTAGAAATACAACTAGTTTCTTTAGTTGATAAATTACCAGAAGTAAAATCATTAACACAATCATCAAAACATCTTGAAACTAAATTTGCATATAAATTCATAAAATCTTTCATTTGTTTTTGTTCAACAATTTGTTGAAATTCTTGTTGTTCCTTAACATTTAATTGGTCCATCTTGTAATGCTTGTTGTCTATTAAACTTAGTAGTAATCAAAGAGAAGAGAGAGAAAGGGTTTTCTTAAATGGCAAATTTATTTCATCGAATTTTTTTTTTTTTTTTTCAACTGACTTTTTCTTTTAGGCAAATAAAAAAAAGATTTTTTTTTTTTTTTTCCAATTGCTTTTTTTTTTACCAAATGTAAATTATTTTTGTATGGGGAAATCACTAACTGAGTAAGTTATAGGTTGTGTCAAATATTATGTTTTGTTGATGAGGATTCAATAATGGTTGGTCATCCAAATCTGTAAGATATCGATTAATTAACATGGGATCTGACAGGTTTGTGATGATTGAATTTGAAATCATGTTGATCAACTTCAATGTATGAAGCGTTGGTAGTTGAGGTGTTCGATATATACTAATGAAAACCATCCTTGTAAGATATATCCCTCGCTTTTGGTAAATTGTTCGTGATATTGGAAAGTTGCGTGGAAATCTTCAAGATCTGGTTGATGAATCCTCATTCCCAATAATACTGAATACCATAGTATTGTTTTAATTTTATTGTTGAATTCTAAATCAGATTTTGTTAACTTATAATGGATAACATACTGAATTTTAAAACGAAACATAATAATGGTGGGAGTGGTTTTTGTACTGGTTAGGAGTTGATATATGAGGGTTGCTTTTCGTCCGATAAGCTGATACTTAAGGTTAAGTACCCAGTATCGTCCTAGCTGTTGGGGTTTTCCAATCAATCCCGTGTAACTTTTTGGATAATAACTTGCGATCGCTGCCGCCGGCATTGGTTGGTAGAGCTCTCTGCAAGTTGATGACACAACTACATTTGAATCCTCCTCAACAAATATTCGACACAACCAAACTATAACAGCAACACAAATTAGCTATGAATATGGGCTCTCAACAAATGGTTAAAATATTGGAAATATCAGAAAATACTAAAATTCACATAATGGACGAATTGAAGAACTAAGATCGATTTCATTTAGGTCTTTGTAGTTATTTAGCTTCTCAAACCGCAACAGAACCGCATCCATAATATCCAAACAAAAAATATTGTCGACTATGTCTAAATCAATCCACAATCAATCTAGGCTCAAATCACATCTACCAAGACCGTGAAATGTCAAAAAATAGATTCACCAAATCAATACCTAGTATTAAGAAGCATTATTGGTACAACGCACTTGCGCCCTAAAAGTGGATAGTTACATCAAAACTGTCACCTACTTATGGAAACATCGACGTCGATCCAACAAAGTATTGAGTCCATTGACGGACAAACAGCTACTCCGCATAATAATAAGGGTCCCCCATTCAATAAACAGATAAATAAACAAACAACCAACCGATAGGAACATCCTTTGAGTTTACTCAATAGGAGAAAGGTTTTCTGTATAGTTTTTATAATTGTATAGTTTTCCTAATTGATATGAGTAAAAAAAAAGTACGTGAGGTAATTGAATTAACGTATGAATAGCAAGGAATGGAACATTAAACTTCTTAATATTTACATGAATATATATATATTTCTAGTCTAGAGAATCTTCTTCTGTTATTTACAAGTAATCTTCTTTTTCTAACAACTACAAACTTGTGGAGCTCTAGGAAATGCAGCAATATCTTTCACGTTCTCATGTCCTACCAAATAAATCATTAATCTTTCAAATCCTAAACCAAATCCTCCATGCGGAACAGTACCATTCTTACGAAGAGTTAAATACCATTCCATATCTTCTATATTCATGTTATACCTCTTCATATCCCTAACCAATGTATCATAATCATGTTCTCTAAGGGATCCACCGGCTAATTCACCAAAATCTGGAATCAAAAGATCAAAACATGCAACCGTGGGTTTAGTTGGATCACAATCCTTTGATTTTAACATATAGAATGGTTTTAAACTTGATGGATAATCAGTAATAAATATTGGTGATTCCTTAGCTAATAATTTCTCATGTTTTAATTGTAATGATTCTCCCCATGTAAGCTGTTCTACGGATGGTAAATGATTCTTATTAAGATATTCCACTGCTTCAGTATATGTCATACTTGGCCATCTATCTGATGTCAATAACGCGTCCCATCTCTTCTTAATTATTTCATTGGCAGTACCATACGAAGCACCTAATAAATCATTCCCATTTCCAGACTCAAACTTAGTTGTTATTGCTCCTGTGCCTTCAACCAACGCTTCAGTGACATATCTAACCATATCTTCTGTAAAATTCGTCAATTGTTTCAAATCATCAATATAACAAATCTCAGCTTCAAGCATCCAAAATTCACATAAATGACGACTAGTATTGGAATTCTCCGCTCTAAAACATGGTGTTAATGTCCAAGCACGATTCAATCCAATTGTAAGTGCTTCCAAATGAAGTTGTGTCGATACAGTAAGATATGCATCTTTTCCAAAGAATTTCTCTGTTTCTTTGCCATCATCACCTCCTTTATTAACAACAGGTTCTACTTTAAATACTTCACCAGCACCTTCACAATCAGAACTGGTAATTATAGGAGGAGTTACTTTTGTAAAACTTTTTGAATTAAAGAATTCCATAAATTTAGTTTCTAAAAATGATCGTAATCTAAGAAATGATGATAATGTAGAAGTACGATGTCTAAGTGATGGATATAATCGTAAATTTTGCATAGTTGTTTCTTTCTTTTGAAGAGGATAATCAGAAGCAACATCACCAACTATAGTCAACTCATGCTTTGGGTTCTTATCATCATATATCAATTCATATGATTGTTTTCCTTTACTTTCTATCCAATCACCTTTAACCTTAATACTTTGACCAACCTTTAATTCAGGTAGTGATTGAGAATTTGGATCTTTTAATACGATATTAAGTCCTTGATATATTGAACCATCATTAATATCTAAAAATCCTACTTTTTTGAACTTTCTAATACTTTTAACATGTCCTTGAGTTTCCAATATTTGATTAGTTGGTGGTGGTTGATTATGAATTTCAAGAATTGTTGGTTTTAATTGAGTGGAATTTGATGCAGCTATGTTTCTATAGAGTCTTACGGTGCATGAACTCCGTTTCAATAGCCATCGACTTCGTATTATTGATAGCATTTGTATGGGGGCTGTCTATCAGAGTCTCCTAATCGATTCAATCGTTTTGAAAATTTTTTGTTCCAGATCTTGATTATGTAATCTCGATTTTTCAAACCTCCAAGAAAATGAAATCTTAAACCCCGGATAGCCTATTTGATCCCCCCCACGCACCACCACGATGCACACCCATCATTCACATAGTGGAGATTATGTGTCTCATGCGACTGATCTGCTCGATGCAACTGTCGCCTTATATTATTCCAAAGGATTCAAAATAGTTTGTTTAACTGAACATATGCCTCGTCTTCATGATCAATTCTTATATCCTGAAGAACTTGAAAAGCATTACACCACTGATAATCTTGTTTCTGATTTCCAGGCATTCACAAACCATGCGAAGAGACTACAACAGGAATACAAAGACAAGATGAAGATTATTATTGGGTTTGAAGTTGAAGGAATTGATATTCCTCATATTGAATATTCACAAGAATTAATTGCAAAGAATAATGAGATTCAAATGATGGTAGGGTCTGTACATTTTGTTCATCAAATTCCAATTGATTTTACGGTAGAGCTTTGGAAAGAGGCAAGATCTAAATCAAGAACAACCCGAGGATTATATTGTGATTATTTTGATTTACAATATCGTGTGATTACAAGTTTGAAACCAATGGTGGTTGGTCATTTTGATTTGATTCGATTATTACAACCAGAAGATGATTTCGATAGTACTACGGGAAAACTTACACGAGATGTTAATGTTGAAATAGATTGGCCCGAGGTTTGGGAACGTATAGTGAGGAATATTAAGGTTGTTTATGAATATGGTGGACTTTTTGAATTGAATTCTTCAGCGATTAGAAAAGGTTGGGATACACCTTATCCTAGACGAGATATAGCCGAAGCAATTATAAAGTATGGAGGAGGGAGATTCTGTCTATCCGATGATTCACATGCACTTACTCAGGTTGGACTTAATTATCATAAAGTATTGGAATATTTGAAATCATTGAATGTTGATGAAATCTATCATCTTGACTTAGATGATGATAATGAGTTAAAGGTTAGAACTGAGGACATAAACATATTAGAGAGATCTACATTTTGGGATCAATATAAATAGAAAACAGATTACATTTTTATTATTCATTCGTTACATCGAAGCACTTTTTGTAGACATTTCTAATAAGATCTACCAAACATACAGTATTTAGCAGCCAACCTGTCACACTTGATACACTTTTGTCCTTCCTTCAATTCTGGTTGATCAAATGGAACACATAAAGTCTTAGCACCCATAGATGGAGCCTTTTCATCAACTTCTTCATCATCACCATTATCCTTTTTAGCAGAAGAATCCTTAATATCATCTTCACAATCACTATCTCCACACCATGGAGCAAGAATAACATTCTTAGCATTCAATGTTGGAACGAAATCTTTCCAATCATCAACTTGAATACGATGAGTATCAAATTCATGACGTGCTTTAGATAATAATCCATCATGCATTTCATCTAAAATTTCTGGAATTCTAGTTTCTAAATCATTCAAATTAATAGAATATTTACTTCCATCATCTCTTCTAACTGCTGTAACTTGATTTTGTGCTAAATCTTTTGGACCAAATTCTAATCTAATTGGAATACCTTTCAATTCCCAATCAGCAAATTTCCAACCTGGTGAATAAATATCTCTATAATCACCAATAGTTCTAACACCAGATGCCAATAATCTCTTTTCAATAGCTTCAGCACCATCATTAATTTCTTTTCTTTGTTCTGGAGTGGTCTTTGAAGTTAATCCGACTGGAATAACAACAACTTGATGTTGAGCAACTCTTGGTGGTAAGACTAAACCCTTATTATCAGAATGAGTCATAACCATAACACCAATAACACGAGTAGATAAACCCCAGGAGTTTTGGAAAACATGAATAGGTGGGTTTTGAGGATTGGTTGGATCTTCAACAGAAATATTGAACATTCTTGAGAAATTCTGACCTAAATGATGAGAAGTACCACCTTGAATACCTCTACCAGTAGCAGCAACAAAACCTTCAACAGTTGTAGTATAATCACCACCAGCGAATTTTTCATTATCAGTTTTTGTACCTTTAATAACTGGAACAGCTAATAATTCTTCATATACTCCAGCATATAAATCTAAAATTTGTAAAACTTCTTCAGCAGCAGATTCTTTGGTTAAATGAGCAGTATGACCTTCTTGCCATAAGAATTCTCTAGTTCTTAAAAATGGTTGTGGATGTTTAAATTCCCAACGAACGACTGAATTCCATTGATTTAATCTTAATGGTAAATCACGATGAGATCTAATCCATTTAGCATAATAAGGATACATGACGGTTTCAGAAGTTGGTCTAATGGCAATAGGTTCTTCTAATTCAGATTTACCTGCCCTGGTAACCCAAGCGACTTCAGGGGCAAAACCTTCAATATGATCTTTTTCCTTTTCTAACACTCTTTGGGAAACAAACATAGGGAAATAAGCATTTTGAACACCCAATTTCTTAATACGATCATCGAACCAACGTTGGATGGTTTCCCAAACGGCATATGAGTTTGGTCTGAGGATATAACAACCTGAAACATCATAATAATCTAACATTTCACCTTTGGTAAGAACTTGAGTATACCAAGAGGAGAAATCTTTAACTTTATCAGAAGTAATACCGATTAATTTTGCATCTTCTAATTTACCAGTATCTTTTTCTTTCTTTTCTTTCTTGGTGGAGGATTCCGACTTTGAAGCTGGAGTAGTTGCAGCTGGTTCAGCGGAGAAATCAACACTAATCAATTCGATACCAGTTGATTCTAAGAATTCAACAACTGTTTTAGCAGGAACAGAAACCGCTGAAGATTCAGTAGATAATTTCAAAACAAGATCTTGACCAGCGGCTTTAATAATACTTTCATCAATAATAATTTTAATTTTATCTTTTAAATTTTTATTTAAATTAGCAATGGAAACTTCTTTGGTAGAAGTAGCAAAGAACTCTTGAACTAAATCATCCTTAGCCAATCTTGGTTCCTTAACATTGGCAGCTTTAGCAATTACTGAAGCTGGAGTTTGAGTTTCTTGTAATGCAAATACAAAGATTGGAACTGGGGTAGCAGTCTTGGCTGTTTTTGGTTTAAAGATTAAAGATTTGGTTGGAACTGAAGATTCAGATGCAACAGTAGCTAAAGACAAAGCAGCTAATGATTGTTCTAATGCCATTTCTTTTTTTATATTTTGTCTAAATATAGATTGTATTGACGTGGCTGGAAATAGAGACAGAGACAGAGTGATTGGAAAGTAATAGATGAAGATTTTTGAAGAATTTTTTTTTATTTTTACGACCAGAGTCATAAACTGTAAAAATTACAAAAGATGAAAAATTTATGATTTAACATGTGTATTTTATAGGTAAACTGTAAATATGACATTCTGTAAACCTTTTTTGAAAAATGAAAAACTTTTTCGGATATCTGAAAAATGAGTCTTATAATTTGACAACTTCTAGTAACTATTTGGTAGTCAATTGACATTATGTCACAAGTTGTATACGTTAACGAAAAGTCAGGTGTTGACAGTACTGAAGTAAAAGGTACTGAGCAACAACCATTTGCTACTCCAGCTTATGCTTTATTTACCTACCCAGATTCAAAGATTTATGTTTTTAAACAATCAGAAGGAGAAGAACAACAAGAAGGATATCTTGAAATTTCTGCCTCTGCTTTAAAGAAAGCTAAGAAAGGAGCTGAAGGTATTAAGAAAAAGATTGAAAAGCAAATTAAATTAGATGAACAAAAGAAACAAAAGGCTGAAGAAGCAAGTTTAAAACTTGCTGAATTAGATTTAATTAAAATTGAAGAAGATAAATCTTTACCAATTGCTAAGAAGATTAAATTAAGAACAATGCAAGATAACTTGGAAACTAGAGTTGCTGTTCAAGGTTGGATTCATCGTTTAAGAGTTCAAAAGGGTTTAGCTTTTATTACTCTTAGAGACGGTACTGGATTTATTCAAGCTGTTTTAACTGGTGATTTAGCTAAAGCTAAACAAACTCAAGAATTAACTATTGAATCTACTGTTATTATCAAGGGGGTTATTTCTAAATTACCTGAAGGTAAGACTGCACCAGGTGGTGTTGAATTAAAAGCTGATTATTATGAAGTTGTTGGATTATCTCCAGGTGGTGATGATGCTTTTACTAACAAGGTTCAAGAAAATGCTGATCCTTCATTATTATTAGATCAACGTCATTTAACTTTAAGAGGTGAAACTTTATCTGCAGTTATGAAAGTTAGAGCTACTTTATTAAAAGCAATTCGTAGATTTTTTGAAGAAGAAGGTTTATTAGAAGTTACTCCTCCATGTATGGTTCAAACTCAAGTTGAAGGTGGTTCAACCTTATTTAAGATGGACTATTATGGTGAAGAAGCTTATTTAACTCAATCATCTCAATTATATCTTGAAACTTGTTTACCAGCTCTTGGTGATGTTTATTGTGTTCAAGAATCTTTTAGAGCTGAAAAATCTCATACTAGAAGACATTTATCAGAATATACTCATATTGAAAGTGAATTAGCATTTATAGAATTTGATGACTTGTTATCTCATTTAGAAAGATTAATCACCAAGACAGTTTCATATGTATTGGAAGATCCTGTTGCTGGTCCATTAATTAAACAATTAAACCCTGATTTTAAACCACCACAAATGCCATTTAAAAGAATGGAATATATTGATGCCCTTGAATGGTTAAATGAACATGGTATTCCAAATGAAGATGGTGAACCATTTAAATTTGGTGATGATATTGCTGAAGCTGCTGAACGTAAGATGACTGATACAATTAATCAACCAATTTTATTAATTCGTTTCCCAGTTGAAATTAAATCATTTTATATGCAAAAATGTAAAGATGATCCAAGAGTTACTGAATCAGTTGATGTTTTAATGCCAAATGTTGGAGAAATTACTGGTGGTTCTATGAGAACTTATGATTATGAAGAATTAATTGCTGCTATTAAAAGAGAAAAATTAGATTTAGAAAGTTATTATTGGTTTACTGATCAAAGAAAGTATGGTACTTGTCCACATGGAGGATATGGTTTAGGTACTGAAAGAATTTTAGCTTGGTTATGTGATAGATTTACTGTTAGAGATTGTTCCTTATATCCAAGATTTACTGGTAGATGTAAACCATAAGTTTATACTCCTTATATGTAAATATACTTATACTAATATTACTAATTAATTAATATTATTTTCTGTTTTTTAATCAAAAAGCGAATGTGGTAAAACGAACAATAAAGTAAGACCTATTATGTTCATAAATTTTAATATGAAATTTATTGTGAGGCGGATATTACCCAGGGGGAAAACCCTGGGAGAGAAACTACATTTGGACCGAATCGCCATCAAAGTTCTATGTCTGTGGAGGAACCGGATGATTGTGTATTGCAATAGGGGAGGTGGATGCAGTTCCAAGCTTGATATCGTTGTGTCGAGAACCGTAGACGGTGAGATCCGTAGAATGACTCTTGTGCAGGACCTGTCGAATAACTCTTGTTCTTGCCGTTCCTGATTCCAACTTGAAGAAGCAGCAATTCCACAGGTATTTATCCAAGTCAAGCTGGATACCGTATGACAAGATGTGGCATTCGAAGCTGGGCGTAAACTCTACCTAACACCAAGTGTAAGGTGGTACCATTCTGAACCACTAAATTGAACTCTATGTCAAGGAAGGACCAAGCATGTAACTTGCATTATTGGGAGCCTCAGTCCGGGTTAGTGTCATACCACATTCTGCTGTATTAAGGTTCTCCGAAGGCAAGACAGGCCGAAAGGGGGATTGGACATAAACGCCTTCCATTAATATTCATGTTAAAAATTAACTCTATTTTTTCTTGCTTACGTAATACAAAGAATCTTACAGTTTGGTGATATTATTGTCCCAACTACTCCTTTAATCTACGGCTTTAATAGGTAATGAAGTTCTCCATATGGATGAATATGTAGCCGATAGGTATTTTACCAAACTAACAAAAGGCACAAAAGAAGACGACCGACCAAAAACCGTTGTCATTCATACGGTGTGTTTTTCAAGCCATGACAATTGAAAATTAACTTTAAATGAATAACAATTTAAACATTAAAATCATTTTAAAATCATTTAAACAATTACCTTTTGAACAATTTACACTCTTTTGGGGTAATTCAATAATAGCAAGTATTTGTTTATAAGTTATAGTATCTCTAATTATATAGTTTGTAGATAAATTAAGCCAAAAAAAAACAACCGCAAACCTTAATTTTTACACTTTTTATTAAAAAAAAAACAATTTGGTTGTAAAAATTGAAAATTTTGGTTGTAATTAAGAAAGAAGGGGAGAAGTAATTAATCTGATTAGGGGAGATATATATAATAAACAATAACAGAGGGGTTTAAGGAGAATTTAGAAGATATGGAAGTAAGAGAATATCATCAATATCAATAGCATTATTAATTAGAATCATGTCATCTAGCAACAACAACATCAACAACATCAACATCAACAATCCTTTAAAACAATCATTACATAAAGTAATTAAACAATTAAATAATCTTCATTCATTCAATCAATGGGATCAACGAAATCAATATGAAAGTAGCTTAACCTCAACTTTAGATAGTTTAATGAAACTATTAAACTATACAAACACATTCGCAGACTTACAAATTACTACTGCTATTACAACTACAACTACCGATAGAACAACGAATATTGGAAACTTACACCTACGTTGGTATTCTAGTCCTAGTAATAATAGCAACAACAGCAGCAGAAATATTACCAAACAAAGCATACTAAATTATCTTGAAGCTTATCAAAAGAATACAGATGAAACAAATTCAACAATTCAAGTATTACAACATTTAATCCTGTTACTTTCAGTTAATGATAAACAGCCGACAAGAATTAAAAGCTTTTATTCAAACATTTTACTTAAGCTTTCTGCAATGTTAGAACAAATATTGAGTTATCATCAAGAATCGGATCAATCTTTCATTAATTATATTACTCGATGTTTTCATTATGAATTAAAGTTTCATTCAGATTTAAAACGGAAATTTGAACTGGATATGAATAGCGAAGATACTACTGCAATTGCAAACTATTTGGATTCTTTTATTTCGGATAATAATAATGTTCCATCTCCTCCTCGTCCTTCTTCAAGAAATGATGAAAATGACACTATCTTCAGTTACGCTGATAATGAAGATGCAGATACTAATCATAACAGCAACCCTAGAAGAAATGAAAATATCGAACTTCCATTAGAATTAGAATCAAATAATCAAAGTTTTAACAAGCTTTATAAATTGTTTCTCGGTATACTATATGCTATGAAATCTCCAAACCCTACCCGTATTGCATACGTATTTGTCAATTTATTTAAGAAACAAGAAAATATAGACTGTTTCGAATCCATCAATCATTATCACAACAAATTCATGACTGATACGATAAATAGGTTCCTTCTCCAGAATAATAAAATAAATGATTACCAAGCCGATAGGATCCTTCCACGAGGACTTGATGATATCAACAAGAAAGTGGTTAGAGAAATTGTTAACAAATACAACCCACCACCATCCCAAACTTCTCAAGGTTCCCAAAAATCTAATATATTGCCTGATATTTTTGAAAATCTTAATTTTGATGATAATGCTAATAATTCCGAACAAACCCTCAAGCAAAATCAGAGAAAGACGTTTATTGAAATGAAACTTCTAATCCCAACTTTAAATAGTCTAGAACTTGATTTTGATCCCGAATTCCCCAAACTCCTAAAACACTATTTTGATTGTTATAATACTATTCTATCAACTATGGCTCAGGCTTCTGATCATCAGTTTGTACCACGAATTATATCCTTATCAGCGGAAATTATGCAGAAATTGGATGATGATGTGGATGAAGCTAATTTAAAAGATATTATTTATGAGTTTTATGAAGCACATAAACTACTAAGTATAGGCAATCATTTGAATCGACAAGCTTCATTATTGATGAGAGCTAGCACATTGGATTATTACAAGCTGAAAAAACTCAACAAAATAGTATTGAGAGGTTGGTACGAAAAATCTCAAAGAATCTCACGACTAAATCGACATGCGGAGGAAATGGAAAAGTATGTATCCACAGCAGGAACAAAACGATTTTTGAAGGACTGGATCTCGAAAACTGTTGAACATAATATTGTGTTAAACGATCTGGATGCGTTTTATGGGAAAAATTTAAAGGAGAAGCTGGTTTCTCTTTGGAAACAAAAGATGCACAATCACAGTCAGAATCGTTTTGTTGCTGACGGTTTGGTGAAGAGGAAATTTCTAATCAAGATGAAGAACGGTTTGACCGAGAAAATGGATCTAATGAAAAAAGCCGAACAAGTATTCAACAATTCATTAATTTCAAAATATTTCAATATAATCCAAGAGAAATATCGTATTATCCAAGAGAACAAGTCCAAGGTATTAGAACTTTCTCATGCATTTCGTATTCAAAGAGATCAAAGTATTACATCATACTATTTTTTAAACTGGTACGTTAAAATGGACTCTCGAGCTTATGGTGATTTATCAGTCTTCAATGGTTCCCTAAGTGAGAAATTAATCCATTTAAATCAATTAGCAAGAAGGTTTGTATTATCCATTTACTTTAATAAATGGAAGAAACGACATAGATTAGAGAAAACAGTTCATCTCATTCAACAGAATAGTGATTTAAAACTAGCTCGTCAAATATTTGTCGATAATTGGCAATATAAGGTCGAACTTTCAAGACAAGCAGATATTATTTATGCTGATCATTTATTCAAATTAAAAACAAATATCTTTAAGCAATGGAGTACTAAAACGTCTCAAATGATTATAGCCAAAAACTTTTATGAAACTAATACCAAGAAGAAATTTTTAAAATTTTTGAACACAAGTCTGACTTTGATAAGAAATGAAAATAGTTTCAAAGAAACGGTAAAAAGATCATACTGGAAATTATTGCTCATTAATTACAATTTAAGAGTGATTGCTAGAAAGAAAAATGAAACTAGTGTCGATGTGATATTCTCAAATTGGAAGGACCATGCTTCTCAAGTTCGAGGCAACGAGCTTCTGGCACAACGAATTAATGAAGACAGATTAAAATCAAAGGTATTACATCATTGGAAATCACGCACTCAGGATGCAGTCGATATGGAAATATTTGCAATTGAAATGGATAAAAGAAAATATTATGATCTATGGCGGACTCAAACTAACATTAGTACTGCTGAATTAGCTAGTTTGTATGAGAGCTATAAACAACAACATCCAATAACACTCCTGGATTCAATCACCATGAAAGGGGTATTAAGGAATTGGAGAGATAAGCATCATGAAGTATTTGAAATGCAAGCAACTGAGAAGATTAAAATGGTTGAGCAAATGACATTGGCAAGAAAAGTTGAAACCTGGCGGAATAAATTACAGACCCGTTTAGATTGGCAAAATGAAGCTGAATCGAAAATTGCTGACTTTCTACGAAAGACTCTTGTTCAACCAATGGTTCAATTATGGAGAGTAAAGTTAGCACAGCGGTATGAAATGGAAATGCATGCAAATGAAATTGTTCAAAATAATTTAGGCAAGAAATTCTTGACGATTTGGGTTGGCAGATCAGACATGAATAAAGAAATGGAAAATAAAGCGGAGGATTTATTGGCAGGAAAGGATTTTAGTATACTGCGTGATCTAGTTCGTAATTGGAACATGAAATATCATAAGCATATCAAAAGGCATGAATCACAATGTCAATTTTTTATTGAAAAAATGGATCGCTCGAGAAACCAATCGATTTTCAAATTATGGCATCATAAGACATTAGAAAGGATAGCCCATCGGAATAATCAGAATGAGGAACAGGAATATATTGATGCAAATACATCAATATTAAGTAGTCTGTCACCACTTGCAAGCAGATCAAGAAGACAAATGGCTTCCTTAAGAACACCAGTGAAATCACAAGCTGAAAATAGAGGTCCATTCCTTACACCATCCCCTCGAAAAGGTCCGAGTCCAACCAAGTTACAAGAGACTAAAGAAAGAATGGAAAATCAGAAAATGTATGCATTAAGACAAAGATTTTCAAGAGTGAAACTTACTCCAAACACATCTCCAATTGATGCTAATAAGAATAGTCAAACTGCTCCACCTCTAGGAAGGACACCTCAACGATTAAAGTTTTATCGATTGTCTCCTCCTACAACTCGGACTCGATCGATATCGCCTCCAAAACCACCTAGGTTTACAAAAGAAGTTGATTTTCTTAATAATAGAGTAGAACCTGAGATTCAAGAAGGTTCATCTTCTGCAGTTGAAGCCGATTTGAGAAATCGGTATGATGATAATATGGTTGAACAAGCAAAGCAAATGAAACGGATTATTCCAAAGCGATTCCCTACTGATGAGGAATATAATCAGATGAAACTTTCTAATGTTGACACATTAAGGAGGAGATTTACGGATGGGTCCTTCCAAGGTTAGAAATATCTATTCTATAGAGTGTATAAATATTATATAAAGTACATGGTTTAATGAGTAACGGAAAAGGGTATGTGGTTGGAGATAAACTTTTCATGTTGATTTATTCTCTCAGTTGGCAACAAAACAACTTTACGTACCTCTAGCGGTCCCATTGATAGCGTTTCTTTTGGTTGCTCCATTAGATATTACTCTAGAATAAATTTATAAGTCAATGTATAGATCTCTTGATCGGGCCCTAGGTAGAGTATCGGATCATGTCACGAATTATACCATAACCTTCAGAAAGGGTACAAAATGGGTT